ACTAAAACTGAAACTAGAGCTCTATAGTACAGGCCCTTGGACCCTAGCGTTTTGAGCTATTAAATTTTTATGCTGCAGCTTCGTATTAGACCCTATATATTATGATAGGATAGATAGTTCACGTTGTCCCCTCTCTCTATATATATGCCGACATTCGAACTATTGCCTGTCTCCTCAGTCTATCCTCAACGCCAACAATGAAGTTACTATTGTGTCTTCTCGCTCTACTCTCTGCAACAAGCGCCCAGGAACATGGAGGTTGTACACGCGTGACGCTTTGCTCAGGCGGTGTAAGTATCCCTTCTATTCTAGAGTAAAACGCTGATTGATTGATTGATTGATCGATCGATTACTACAGTTCTGTAAAATTGGTGCCAGCGACTCCTGCAGTTTTGCAACAGAAGAAGCCGATTATCAGCCATGTTCTGGTGAATTTGGGGTTTGTTATGGAGGACTTTGCGTAAGCCGAGTGTTTAACTTGATCGGAAGCTATGTGTTTATCTGACATACCGTCTATAGTATGGTTGTAGTGATATTTCGAACTGTGAATCTTGCGATGTCCGGTGTTGTCGCAACTAGTCTTAGCTATGTGCTGCATTGCGAAAGCGTGTGGATAATAACTTCGATAGAGCGCCACTCAAGGTGGATAAAAGCCACAACATTGAACCTCATATCATCAGATTTCACTCTAACATATCGTCTCACTATGTTAAGAGCCATCGCATTGCAGAGTGCCTAGAGCGGGATAATACTTAATAATTATCGAGGCCGCTTATAATCGCTACATAGCTTGGAGTAGAGTAATAGTCGTCGTTTGTTACTTATAATCATATCCTTAATCCCTAATAGGGGTGTTGAATTCGACCTTAATGCTAGATTTCTTCGTAGCTTTATAGACTTAAGGGCTAGAAGAAGAATAAAAGTTAGAAAAATTATTAGGTTAAAGTCTCTATTTTTTTTTAACTAGATAGATTAATTTTAGATAGAAGTAGTAGAAACCGCAGAATCCGGGTTTAGAACTAAACGTAAGGATTGTTAGGTAGGGCTTCTAGTAGAGCTGAGCACGTAGCTACACGCGCCTACTACGCTGCTAAAAAGTAGGCGCAAGACAATAAAGCTCCGTTATTGTCTACGTAGCTAATACTTAAGCTTACGTTCGTTTGGAATTGAACGGACCCGTAATATAATAAGAATTATATTTACGCTAGTAAATAGGTATCTATTACGATCTAAGGCCAGCTGCTTATAAGTANACTAACTAATAAGAAGCTTAACACTAGAAGTCTTATATTACTTCCACTCGAGCTATACTCTTAATAATTCTATAAGTCGACCGAGATTCCATTGAGGAGCTATCTAAAGAGTGTTTAGCCCGTTACAGTATGCTAGTGGAAGGCCCTAATAGTACTCAGACGAGGATACAATGTAGAATTACAGGAAGGTAAAAAAACAACGATAGAGACACGACCAACTTTTAAGTCTAAAGACCTTTCAGACTTGAATAATACACTCATTTTATGCATCGAGCACACGCACAGATGGAGTTGCACAACGCTCCTCGACAATACTACCGCTAAAGTCTATCTCTCCGCGACGGATATTAGATGAGTCAGCATTAACACAATCATGGTATACTTAGTGGTGGCTTCTTAAGCACACAGGCTCTTATAGTATCGCCGGCTCTAGCTATCGCCTGAGAATAGAGATTCGGCTTCACCGGCAACATAGCAATATCTGATTCAGTCTTCGATAACGTCTTTGTAAAACTATATCAGCACTAGCATTTGGGCTGCAAGTTAGCGCGTAGTGTGTCTTGTGCTGTGCTAAGGGTCTAGAAGAAAAAAGTGTTCTATTATGTAAGGGACTGCGTTCTAGAGAGCAATTACGAGGTATATAAGAGGTTGTATTTATGTACTTATTAGAGAAGAGGTATACCAAAGTGTCTAAGCGCGCTGCCTAAGCGCTTCTCAGGCGGTGAGCAGAGTCCAGGCGCTCTAAATAACGCCCGGATTCCATGCTTATCTGAACATTATTCAGAGGGCGCGCGTAGATTAAACCGAAATCTTATCGAGGAGCTACCAGGCGTTCAGCCCGTTACATATTACATCATGCGCCCCAGCACGTAGGGATTGACGTTGATAATCGTCGCGGGGCGAAGATAGTAGTAGTAGTAACGTGACTACTAATGGCATCCCGCCAAAACTGGGCCTCCGAGAGGCTACTGGGGCAATGGAGGACAAGAACTAAGTTAATAGGTATTAGAATGAGTTGGATTTTAACATTATACTCATTATCTTTTTCACACTCTTACAAGTTCCTCTCTTAGATAGATCAGAATTTAGTTAACTTGTATAAGTCTTTCCTACTAAGACTATCCTAATGATCGCGCGGACTATCGCCCAAGTCTGCTCGCTCTAACCCAGGCCGAGACCAGAGAAGTATAGTCTAACTCTATGTAACATCTAGTCTCTTACAGAATTGTAACCGCTGAGCTACCGACACGACCCATATCCGAGAAGAATCCGAACTAGTGTCAGAACCTAGCTTCCTTTGATTCCTCGTGGGCCATCTAAGGCTACTCTAGTCCCTTCTGGCCCGTCTTAGTCATATCTGACTTCTCAAAATAGATATGAGCACTGAGAACACTACCTTAGCTCGGTAGCTGTTCATCTACGTGAAATACAGACGGTTCACCTTGCATTGCCATTATTACCCTCTACCCGTGCCTAATTCAGCCTTAACGTCTCACAACTAGGCCACTATCGGACTTAGCGGGAACTACTAGGATAAAAGCCTAACCACCTGTGATAGCTTATTCTGTAGTTTTCGATATCCTTTCGTACACGTTCTATAGGTGTTTAATCAGATTCTTGAATTTCTTGTGTCCCACACACTCCCATATACCTCTAAGTGACCCTACCTCCGAACCGAATCTGACTCTTCTTGCCTATGCCGTTACAAGAATTAATTTCCAAGATGAAGCTTTGTTCTTTAAGTTTACGCTTCTACCAAATTATAGTTCAACTACACGAATACAATAAGCTTACTCTATGTTATGCATAGACATGTATACTAAACCGGGCATTAGAACTCTGCAAACCCTTTTTAAAGAGGGCTATTTAATATTGAGAAAGGTGGTTGTATCTCTGTCTTCACAGCTACAGAGATATCTAAACATTTCTATTCTCTATCTTCTCTCGCTCTGCATCATGAGGCTCAATCCTTATTATTCATTGTTCTCTCTACTTTATAGCATCAATCCAGCATCCGCTAAGAGTTACTTAGGTATTCTATCACCTTATTTTTATGTAATCTGTCACTAGAAACTGTTGTGGTGTGGGTGTTCAGGGTTTCACAGGGGTGCCACTCAACTTTTGTGAAAACTCGACCCCTAGTCATAAGGCGCGCATGTTATGTGTATGTAACCATATCAAGTCATGGCCCTAACTATATCTAATAAGATACAGTGTACACCGGCCGCCCTGTCGTGGCCACCGGGTGCTAAGTATCCCACCCCTTATGACTAAAGTACCAACCCTGGAATGCTCAATCAACAATACATTTATGTACACGATATCAAAAATGTAGAGTGGTGTACGAGTGGTGAGACACACGGGTATAAAGCGTGTGCTGTTGCTCCATACGGGGGACCGGTAGTTCATTAAGGTTAAAGAATACTTGCGTTGGAAGTTAAACTCGGTCAGATTGAATTCTTTCCGGAAAGCGGTTCTATACATACCTTCGCAAGGAGCATACCTTTCGTTTCTTGTGACTCTATAGAAAGAAACTCGTCAGGAGCGTGCGGGAGAGCAGTTTTTATATATTGGAATGGAAGATACTTGCGGCCTGGCTAAGCATTAGGCTTATGTGGGCTTAATAGAATTGTAGAAAGTCGTAGCAACAAGCAGAGTAATATCGAGCGTAAGAGGTGTAGGTGTACGCTATGACCTCTTTCTGGACGTGTTAGTTGTGCATTTTGCTCTAATGTATCTGCATAGCGAGCTCGTTAGCCACCTTCTGCGACACGTTATTCCCGTCTCTGGATAGGCGTTGCAGCCAAGTAGGTTTTACAGCGACAGCCGACTTGTTGTGGCCATGGCCGCGCTTAGGCAACCCCAGGTGTCGCTGCGCTGACGATGTTGAGAGCGTCATCTCATATATCCCAACGCCTGTATCTGTGTGCTACTTATGCTTGCAGCAGTGACGGCGCACAAAGTAGTTATAGCTTACTCGGGTCCTTTTACAGCGCAACGCGGTAGCCATAGCAATAGATGCAGCTCTTGCGCGACTTCTGCGACTACAGCAGCTTCACATACTTACGTAAACGCCCCCAATCGATTCCTTCAAAGTCGTCCATCAGGTTCGTGTCCAGCACGTCTTGTCAGATCTCATTATCTAGGGCTGCTGCCGAAAAGGTGTTTGGGCACACGGCCGCGGAATGGCTAGATATCATGAAAGGCGTCATAAGACAACATGACTTAATGGAAAGTCAATTAGCTGGTCGAAAACATGTGATCCTTCTCCCGCAACAGCCCAGGCAGCGAGGCCTGTTTGCCATGACGTTGGCAGCGAGGCCCCGGGCTATTCCGGTGCGTGTAGCGGGCTGGACAGGGCCGAGGTCCTTGCTGGCTGAAAGACTTTGAGCGATGCGCGGGTCTGTGTCTTTGTACCTGCATTTTCTAGCGGGCTCCGTCCTGTCCCGAACATGTGTAGCACCGAGGCACATGGCATGCGTGATTTGTGGCTGGGAGCAGCAGGATACCCGCCTGCCTGGCGAAACCAGGGCTGTCGCGGACTTGATGCCATCTGCCCTAGAAAGCACTAGGCGTGACGGCCTTTACATTTAGCTGAGGCGCGTCCCATGCTCCGCCCGGTACCCCGCCGCTAAAGGCCCGTGCTCCACCCCCACCTGCGCGAGACCAACGGAACCAGTGCATAGTCCAGTGCTCACCCTACATCAAGCCACCATCCTGCCTCTTCTTCTCTTCTCCCCTCTCCCTGACTCTTCAATTGCTTCCTATCCAACTCGCCCCTCCACACAGCACCCTTCTCTCTTCATCAAATCACATCAAAAATGGTCAAGGCCGTAGTCGCTGGAGCTTCCGGAGGCATCGGACAGGTACGAGCCCGCGAGCACCCAAAGGGTCCATAGACCCCCGTTGCAGCACCTGCTAACCAATGTGAAATAGCCCCTCTCTCTGCTCCTCAAGAACAACCCGCACGTCACCGAGCTCGCCCTCTACGATGTTGTAAACACTCCAGGTGTTGCTGCTGACCTGTCTCACATCTCGACCCCCGCAGTATGAGGTGCTCGCCCCGCATTTATATAAACACACTAAAGTTGTTTAGGTTGTAAAAGGATACCTGCCCAAGGACGATGGTCTGAAGGGCGCCCTCACCGGTGCTGACATTGTTGTCATCCCCGCTGGTATTCCTCGTGAGTTGGATATGCTCGACGGCTCGGCGAGCAAACACTGACAAAGACTCAGGCAAGCCTGGCATGACGCGCGATGATCTGTTCAAGATCAATGCCGGCATTGTCAAGGGCCTCATCGAGGGCATTGTCCAATTCTGCCCCAAGGCTTTCGTCCTCATCATCTCCAACCCCGTCAACTCGACAGTCCCCATCGCTGCCGAGGTTCTCAAGAAGGCTAATGTCTTCGACCCCAAGAAGCTCTTCGGTGTCACCACCCTAGACGTCGTTCGTGCCGAGACATTCGTCGCCGAGATTATTGGCGAGAAGAACCCCGGAAACCTCAACATTCCCGTCATTGGTGGCCACTCTGGCGAGACCATTGTCCCGCTCTTCAGCCACGCTAAGCCAAGCGTGAACATTCCAGCAGACAAGATGGAGGCTCTTGTCAAGCGTGTTCAATTCGGTGGTGATGAGGTCGTCCAGGCAAAGGATGGTGCTGGTTCAGCCACCCTTTCCATGGCCTACGCCGGATATCGGTACGTTTCGTATGGCTCTACTTTGACATGACACAGCCTGACCACAGACAGATTCGCCGAAAAGGTCATCAAGGCCGCCAAGGGCGAGAAGGGCATTGTCGAGCCGAGCTACGTCTACCTCCCCGGTGTCGCGGGTGGTGACGCGATTGCTAAGGCTACTGGAACCGAGTTCTTCTCTGTACCAATTGAGCTTGGTGTAAGTAACTCGACAAGGGCTTGGCGTCTTTTCATGTCCTGCGACTTTACTAATTTCTTCCAATAGCCCAGTGGTGCAGAGAAGGCCATCGACGTCGTCAGCAGTGCGAACGACCACGAGAAGACTCTCCTCAAGGCCTGCTACGAAGGCCTAGGTGGCAACATCAGCAAGGGTGTTCAGTTCGTCCAGAGCCCTCCTTCTTAGTGAGCAGACCATATTCCAGTATTGATCGAGTATGAAGCTGATGAAATCGTACAGAGGAACTATAGACCTCCATGATGTATGAAGCGAGACGAAGCCAGCTGAAGACATGTATTGGCATACCCATGAGCCAATGCCACTGTGAGCAGAAGAATGAATAAATTTATGAACACCACAAAGACCCCCTTGCATGATTCCGAGACGCATTACTGCTTTTGTGATGAACATGTTCTGATCAAAATAGAGTATGTCCCGCACGTTACGCCTCAAGAAGAACCCTAGTTGTTCAACATGCCATGCGGGCTTGCAATCCTTGTTGGAATGTGTCCGTAGCCAATGAGTATACTTTTGTTCGGCCGATTACCTATTAGAGAGCCGTCAATGGATGTCCACAGAGGACCAGTGCCATAGGCGGAGAATAAAAACTGAAAAGAAAGGGTGCGTCGCAGTATTCTTGAACCTTTCAATCAGCAGGGCTTTGGAGAACAACTGGAGAAGCAATCACCTATGCGAGCTCGCATAAAATCATGACTGACCAGACGAAATCAGGGTTAACCATGGTTTGGGATATAGATACTTGCGCTCAGCCACGTATGTATATAGCCGCGCACTTACACCCCATTCGCCTCCACTACTCATCAAGCATAGCTATCGCCCATATCGACAAGCCTAACCAAATTCAGAATGCGTTTGCTTTTCCTGGACCTCACCCTGGAGCTGAGGCTCATGATCTACGAACACTTATCCATCACCACAGAGCAGCTAGTACTCGAAAACGCCCTCAACGAGTACCGTCGCACGTCGACCATTCGGCTAGTCGCAAAATTTGCACCCGTCGAGATCTTGAGGACCTGTCGATTGATCTACCAAGAGGTACATCCATATGTCAACAGACTTGTGGAGAGATGCCAACGCCTACAATTCATTGTCGGCTTATCATAATAAGAGCCTTTCGTGATATAGTCTGCTTCGCAGAGACTGGAGACATAGGAAAGGCCTTTATAAAATTCATTCAAAAGACTTGTTCAGCTACACATCTATCCTTGGAGTAATGCCAGCACCAAAGGCGTTTCAGTTTGCCGCCATCATATCGTATGGTGTCGACGGAATATGCAAACAAACTCCGACACTTTATTGAGCGGGCCACCAAGTATGTAAACCACGTGCTCAATAGGTGCAAACTGGAGATTGCCATCAAGTTACCAGAAGAAGTCGAAATTTTGGGAGTAGAAACAATATTTCCACTGAGGAGGGATTCGCTATGGGGAGAAGGGCATCACAGGCAAAAAACTTGCTTATATGCTAGGGTGGAAGGGTGAACTGGATGCCAAGAAAAAGATCCAGTACGACATGCTGATAAGGAACTGGAGTGTTTGGTTACACCATACTCGTCAAGAAGGTGCGAAGGCACTCGATGATATAGAATGGCAAGCGGGCTGGAAGGAATTGAAGTTTGGGAGAATTACGTAGAGGCAGAAGCGGTGTTGCGCGCAATGATAGAGGAGGCTCGCAGGCTATCACGTCGTCCTGGGTGGAGCTTGCCAATGTTGCAAAAACGCAGTGTAGGTTCGAGACATGTCGTTAGGAAAGAGGACAGAAACCTTTGTATTTTGTGTTCCAGATTTTGATTCTAGCATTGTATGGGTAGATTTACATAAGTGGTGTTGGAGCGTTGGCAAGACGTGCCGAGCCATGACACTACTAGGGACTAAGTAGCAGGACCCTTGCTGGATGATCGACAGTGCTAGTAGTTCTGAATAGCCCACATGGAGCTCCAACGCCGACGTACCGCATTGCGCTTTGTGACTGCGATTCCCCGCCTACAGCCTGATAATCCTCCAGCACCGATCTCCTACGACGAATAATACAACACAGAACAATCCAATATCCAGGGTTGTCCCAATTCCAACTGCAGAGCCCCTACAGCAACACTATCGAACAACGCGCGCGCCCCTCGGCACCGTACATTCGAGTCTATATACCAGATACCCGCCTAGCAGGCAAACAAGCCCATATACACACAAAAAGCACACCTCCCAAACATGGCGCAAGCCAACCCCTCCGTCCCGAGCGAAACCTCGCCCCCCTACGTCGACCCCACCTTCTCGCTGGTAAACACATCGTGCCTAGACCTCCTCCTCATCGAACTGGTCCCCATGGCCTACCGCATAACAGCCGACCTAGCCGCACGAGAAGAAGAATGGATCCACGGCGCTTCTGCCAGCGCAGCCTCACCTAGCGCGCGACCCAAACAGCTGGCTGGCTCCCCTGGCAATGACGCCGCGAGCACGGTAGCCGCGCGGACAGAAGGCGGAGGCCACGTCGGTGTCGCAGGGACCGTAGACGAGGAAGAGAGCAGAGAAGCCGTATTTCACCGGCTAGAAGCTCTAGGGTACAGAGTTGGTCTTGGGGTTGTAGAACGGTATTTCTTTTTCTTAAACATCCCTTTTTCCTTTCTTTCTTCCTTCCCTTCCCCCAACCCCACCCCCCATACATATGTAACCCTTCTCTGCGTGCCTCCTTTCCACCACCACCACCCAAACTAACTACCTTCAACCTTGACTGATTGAAACGATTAGAAATGATATTGGAAGCGCTGACGCGATACAACTATAGTTTCTCCCGCGACGCACCCCGCCCCACCACCCCCCTCGATTGCATCAAGTTCCTCTGCAAAGACCTCTGGACCCTCCTCTTCCGCAAGCAAATCGATAACTTGAAAACAAATCACCGCGGCATCTACGTGCTTACCGATAATACCTTCAAGCCCCTCGGCCGCATGTCGTTTGACACGAAGAAATACGATGCGAGCATGCAGGCGGCACTCGTCGCGCAGACGGGCGACCCCGCGTTGGGGAGGGAGGCCAATTCTCAGGCCCGCGTCCAGCCGTTTCTTTATTTTCCCGCCGGCCTGATTAGGGGGTGTCTTGCTGCGTTGGGCATTCAGGCCAGTGTTACGGCAGAGAGTGTCGCGTTGCCTGGGGCTACGTTTCAGATTCGGACGGTGGGGGCGAAGAGTTGAGAGGGGTAAGGTCAGGAAGGGCGAAGGGGAGAGGGGGGGTGTTTTTTTTTTTGATTGATTATAATATGTGTGTTTTTTAGCGGCATTTATGAGGCGTTTTCGGGACGACGACAGCGAGATGAAGATGAATGCATGACATGTGTACATATGGGGATATGCAAATACATATGTTCTATCGTCACTTTCGCTTTGTACAGGCGACATGCATACAGATAGCAAGGCAACGAGCAATGTTGTACAAGACTAAAATACAGCAACAAATCACTCATCTGATTTAGTCCCATTGAGACACGGGGATGAATACTATTCCATTTACATTTCCGATTCCAAAAAAAAGACAAGACGCCACGAATGCCCCCAGACAAAAAGGCACATAGTACCTGTCTGTTTTCCCTTGTCCGAAGATAGAGGTAAAAAGAAATAATGAAAAATCAAACGTTACTCGGTCCACTAGGGCCCTTGGGATCAAGCAACAAATGTGGTTTCAAAAAGCCATCATCAATCTGCTTAAACGCGTTTGCAGGATCATGGCTGATTTCACTGATAAGCTGCTTGACCGCACCAGTAGCAGTAGCAACTCTGCCCGGTCCTTCTGGTGGTTTATGACCAGAAGTTGGGTACGGTGATACGGTCTGAGAAGCGCCTGCAAGTGGGGATGAGGAACGGTTTGGGGAACGGCGGGCGCTCGGGGGTAAGTCAAGATCAATGTCGTCTTCGTCGTTTGAAGCGCTGTCTCCGGGGCTGAGGAGACCCTGGTCTGCACCATCGCGGGCGCGGACGTGGCTGGAGTTGCGCCGGGTGGCGCCGTTAGGACGGGTGCGGGGACTGCTGCGACTGCGGGAGCCGCTCGAGTAAGAGCCTTCTTGGCTGTTGACGTTGTTGAGAGTGAAGGCGCCCTGGCTGGGGCGCGGGGTGTGGCCGTAGCCCTGGCCTTGCTTGCGGCTATACGTGCCGCCGTTGACGACTTCGATGTCGAATTCGTCGTCACTATCAATTTCCTCGACGATACCGGTACGGATCCCAAGAATTTCCAACATGCGGGCGGTGGTGCCACCAAAGATGATGACGGTCAAGACGACGACGACAAGAACTGTTGCTCGTAGGGTATCGCCGTTGTTACCTGTGAGGCCAGCAGCGAGCGCAACACCGACAGCACCACGCAGACCTGCCCAGTAGATCATGGCCTGATGAGACCAAGGAATCTCTTCTACGAGCTCCTCTCCACGCCGGCGCTGGCGGTACCGGGTCACGGAGTTGATGATTCTAGAAAGCGGAAATACGGCACACCATCGAGCCGCGCAGATACCAGCGACGGTGATGAGAATGAAAAGGGGCTTGTAATCAAGCTTATCATCGGTAAAGAGCGAGAGTCCCAGGTAGATGAAGATGAAGTTCTCCGAAATCTGCGACGTGACTTGGAAGACAAACTTGGTAGTGAGCTGTGTTCGCCTCGACATGTTGTGGTAAGCATAGTGTTTCATGCATATGCCGCAGAATAGCAGCGAGACAATACCTATACTTGGTTAGCAGCAATACATACTAACAACTCTGCAACACTTACCCGACATGTGAATAGCGTTGGACATGAAGTATGTCAGGTACGCAGTCAGAATAATCAGACAACTCTCCGTCTTGGGAAAACGCCTGACATAGGTGAACTTGAGCATCAGAGAGACGGCAATGCCGACCGTGACACCAATAAACAAACTGCCAAAGAAGACGCCAAAGAAAATGCCAAAGGCCTCGAACAGGCTAAGTATACCCAGCGACTCGGCGCCATCCTTGTACTTTTGTGCAGTCTCAAACAAGACGATAGCAACAGCATCATTCAAGATGGACTCGCCAAAGATGAGCGTATACAGCTTGGGTTCTACCTTGTACGTATCAAAGATGGCAAGAATAGTCACGGGATCCGTGGCTGAGAGAGTGGCGCCCACGGACATGGCCTCGACAAAGTTGATTTTGAAGCCATCGAGAGGGATCCTGGTCCAGAGGAACAGAATGAGACCGAGGACTAGAGCAGAAATGAAGGTGCCGGCAAAGGCAAATGTAAGGATGGTGCCGATATGACGAAAGAAGTTGCCCTAGGATTTGTTAGGACATGGCAAGGAGCAGGGGGGTGCATGTAAGAACCCACTTGGTGCAGCTCGTAGCCGGCCGAAAGGATGATGGGAGGCAGCAGCAGGTTGAAGAACATCTGGTAGTCGAAACTGACGGCATCCCGCACGGATGCTACTGCTGTCAGGCGGAGGATGAGCCCAACGACCATTCCTGAAAGTGGTTAGCGGGGCGTGTGGTAGCGCGCTCCGGTTACGATGTGAGCCAAGGCGGGATTGCAGTGGACAGAACATGTGCAGATTTACCCCACTAATCAATCGCTGATCGAGTTTCTGCCCCAAGCTTGCAGGGCGATGGCTTGTAACCCAGTATACGCACTACTTGGGGCTTGTCACGACGATTGCGCAAGAGCAGTAGAGGCCACGGAGGCGGGCGTGGGGCAACGTACCAGCGAAGATGGACAAGACGGTTTCATGGACGGCCTGTATTTTGCGCGTGTGCAGGATGTAGCTGGTGAAGAGGGCGACGATGAGCAGGACAATGAGGATGGACAAGGCCCACGATGTGAAGATTTCCTTTTGGCCGGCCTCGGGTTCGTCTGGTGCGGGCATTAGACAGGCTTGGGGCGCGGGGGGTTGGAGAAGGGCATGGGTAACTGACCGTCGGGGTCTGCGTCGGTCGTGTCTCGCTCTGTAGCAAACAAGGTCAGTAGTGATGCGGGCGACATGGTGTGTCATGGCATGGGCTTCTGGGGGCGCATACTGAGGAGCTGGCCGACGGCCCACCAGCCCATTATGGAAGCCATGCTGGGCTCAAGGCGGCGCTTTCATGGGCCGGATCGCGTCGCTTCGCGGATGGGTCGAGGGGGCAGGGCGCGTGTGATGGACGGCACAGGTGGGTGGTGTTGGGCGCGGGTCTTGGATGAAGAGCCACGGGCGCGCCAGATGACAGAGGGCGGATGGCGCGAGTGGACAGGCAGTGGCCGTAGCCGTAGCCGTGGCAGTGAGAGTGGCTAAGCAGGGCAGGGCAGGGCGGGCGTGACCAATTCACTCTGACGTGTCTGTGTGCGTGTGTGCGTGTGTGTAGGATGTATGCGGAGTGTATGCAGTGCGTGCATGTACAGTAAGTATGTATGTATGTAGCAAGTATGTGTTCTCTGGGCTGCTGCCTCGCCCTCTGCGCCCCCAGCAAAGCTGCCCAGGTGTCTGTTCGTCGTCCCATGTCCCGGCACACGGCCCTCCCGCCCTAGCGCCGCATCGGGCCTAGCGCGCCGACCAGGGTCTGAGGAACCGCTCGCCCATGGCCCAACGTCATCCTACATGCCTCCCGCACACACGCTGTCTGCATGACATCGACTTTGAATCGCCCTGCTGAGCGCAAAAGACACCCAACCACCACACACACTCTCTCTCGCAACCTCGCACTTGCACGCGCATGCACTCGCGCGCACATGACCTACACCGCTCCCCTCGGCGCCTGGTGACGTTCCCCTGCTGATTCGACTCGCCCTCCTTCGCCTCCCCGCCACTGCCGCCTCCAGCTGCAGTGCGGCTCGTCATTTGCGTAGCCCTTTATTCTTGCTGAGCACGCCGCCGCCCGTTGTGCGCCCCAGCGGAACCGCTAGCTTCTCTTTCACCGTGCTGCATATCTTGGCCCCTCCGCCGTGACTTTTGCCTGCAACAGCCCTGTCTCTCACCACATCACTCCACCCTCCCTCAGCACTGCTGCCCGCTGCGCGCCGCCCGCTGCCAACCGACCCTGGCAGCACGCCTGCCAATCACACGCTCGCCGACCCTGACCACTACAGTAATCTCTCTCCAGGCCTGACCACGTCGCCGCCTGCACAGCAACCCGATCGCGTGTTGTCCCCACGCCCACTGCCACATCATGTCTTCGACGCCTCCGTCTCGTGGCCGAGATGACTCTGCCCCAGGTCCCCTTTCCCCGCCTCTATCTAGACTCGACACTTCCTCCCCTCGTCCCAAACCACGACCCAAGCTCGTCTCTTTTGCCCGCGAATCTCCCCTGGGCGGCCGCCCCGACACCGACGGAGACGCTGAGATTGAATTCATCCACCAACAAGACCATCCGCCCCGCATGTCTTCAGAAGTCGACCCGCTCCTTAAGGAGGCCATGTCGCCCAACAGCGAAGACGACAGCTGGTTGGGTGAGTCCCAGGTCGAGGAGACAAAGTCGAGTTGGTTCCTCTTCCTGCTCACCTTCTGCGGCCTCGGCTTGCAAATTGGTTGGTCTGTAGAAACTTCAAACGGCTCGGTAAGTGCTTTTTCCACCTGCCTCTTCAAAAAAAATTTCACTGGCACGCTACGGACCCTGCGTCCAGATCGGCGTCCTGCTGCTTGTGTTTCCGCGGTGGCGAGTCTGCGGCTAACGTTGTCTACAGCCCTATCTTCTGTCGTTGGGTCTGAGCAAGTCAATGCTTGCCCTTGTCTGGATCGCCGGTCCTCTCTCGGGTGTACTCGTCCAGCCCTACGTCGGTCTCAAGAGCGACAATTGCCGTCTGCGATGGGGAAAGCGGAGACCCTTCATTGTCGGCGGCGCCGCCGCGACCATCTTGTCTCTCATGGTCCTCGCTTGGGCCAAAGAGATCATGGGCGGTTTCTTGGGCATCTTTGGCGCAGACCCAGAATCCACCTTTGTCAAGACAAGTATCATGCTTTTCGCTGTCCTCTTCGTGTATGTGCTGGATTTTGCCATCAACGTCATCCAAGCTGGTGTGCGCGCATACATTGTCGATGTTGCGCCCACGCACCAGCAAGAATCTGCCAACGCATGGTTGATGAGGTCGGCGGGTATTGGCAACATCTTGGGCTATCTCGCTGGCTACATCAACTTGCCAGACTATCTCCCATGGCTCGGCAACACCCAGTTCAAGGTCCTTTGCGCCATTGCGTCCTTTGTCATGGCTCTCACTGTCGGCGTCAGTTGCTCCGCATGCGCCGAACGTGACCCACAGTTCGATACCGCTCCCGCCAACCAACAAGATGGTGTCGTTGCTTTTTTCAAGGGCCTTGCACGCTCAGTCAGGAAACTGCCTCCTCAGATCAAGAAGGTCTGCATGGTGCAGTTCTTCGCTTGGATCGGATGGTTTCCTTTTCTCTTCTACATCACCACCTACGTTGGCGAGATCTACGCCGACCCATTTTTCGAGGAGGACCCACATCTCCCAGATCGCCAGATCGACAGTATCCTTGAAGACGGAACCAGAATTGGCACAAGAGCTTTGTTGATTTTCGCCATCACTACATTCATCTCCTCTGTTATTTTGCCATTTGTCATTCCGCCAACATTCCAAGCCCCAGAGCCCGAGCGCCCCGTTACTCCCGCGACCCCCATGACGCCATCCACCCCGCATTCCATGAACGGCTCTAGCTACTTTGCACTTAACCACCAGCCCAAAGGATCTTCGAAGTCTTTTGCGGACAAACTCTCCAATTCAATGGATGTGCTGCAGATCAAATCGCTGACCCTTCGTCGCGCATGGCTCATATCGCACATTCTGTTCGCCGTGCTAATGGCCCTGACCTTTTTTGTTCGCAGTACCTGGGGTGCTACAGTTCTTGTCGGCGCTATTGGCATTCCTTGGTGCATCACAAACTGGGCGCCGTTTGCCATCATCTCTTCCGAAATCTCAAAGCGAGACGCCATTCGCCGTGGCATCATCAAGCCTCGTGACCGTGAAGCCCAACTTATTGCAGAGGGCGAAGATGAAGGTTCAGGTGCGGATTCGGCTGGTGTTGTGCTTGGAATCCACAATGTCGCAATCGCAGCACCGCAAGTTATTGCCACATTGATCAGCGCTGTCTTGTTCAGAATCCTACAGAAGCCCAGAGGCACAGCTGGTGACACCAGTGTAGCCTGGGTGCTGCGCTTTGGGGGCATCTGCGCTCTAGCCGCTGCGTGGCTGACGCTCCAAGTCAATGAAGAGAAAGAAGACGTTGAAACCGAAGAACCTTTCAGGAGGAGGCGGATGTCCTAGGACGACTCCGATGAGTATTCTTTGGCTCATCTTAGACATGAGTTGGTCCAGTCTCTTAGCCGGCAAAATTCTCTAGATGGAGACACTTTGACAAGTTTAGACAACAGCAGAAGACGAGGCAAGAGTTGGGAACTATTCCAACGGTATTAACCAGCCCTGCCGCTATCCGGTATACGCATTGACCACCCCCCCTCCCCTCTTTGGATTGTTCTGGTTCCAAAAGTCTGGTTTTTATTAGACTCTGGTTCCCTCCCCCCACTTGAATTAGACTGTGATACTCCCTGTGGATTTTGAGCGAAGGCGTTCCTCCCTTCCATTCCTTTTCTTTTACCCGGCGTCTTGAGGAGACACCACACACCTTTTTTAACGGCTTTATGAGACGGCATGAGCGGAGTTTTTGGGAAGGGTTATACACATACATCCATATACATGCGGACGGATGGATTTGGGTTTTTTTTTCTCCTGGGATTCGGCGCGGATAGTGTGGCGTTTTCTTTAATGGATAGGGAAAATTATTACCACACACATACGCTCTTTTTTCCAGATGATCAGTAGGAGATCTAGGACCCCCTTTTTGCTTTTGAATCGTAGCTTTTGGCGTTTTCAATGGAACTAGATAAGTGTAACCCCTTCTATGTATATTATCATATGTTATTTAACCAAGCCCTGGATGTTCATCGTTCATTTTGTAATCACAACACTGCTTTTTTCTCTCTCTCTTTCTCTCCAAAAGAAAAAGCAGAAACAAATGATAAATGAAATAAATCAATCGATCAATCGTCTTTCTGATGGAGAATCTAGCATCTGGAAGCATGATAATCAGTTGCTTTTCTCAACACCCCTAGGAATTTGAAAACTAAGCGAGGTTTTCCAAAGATTCGCATTCCTTAAAGAAACACTTTTCTTGTCGTCCTCTATCTTTGTTTCTCTCTCTCTCTCTCTCTCTTTGTTTCAGGTGGGAACTCAAAGGCATTGCAGTATTCTGGATTTTTTTTTTAAAAAAAAAAGAAAGGTGGAGGAATCCCTGTATGTTGGAAAAGAATGGAGATATTCAGCACGTGCAAGTACGAAAAGGTAAATTGATAAAGTCACGGAGTGCTCTTGGTAAAAACTAGAGAGACTTCAACGAGTATTTCTTTTAACATGATAGTCTGAGGTACGAACTTGATGTGGTATTGTGCATAAAATTGAGAAGTTTTTTTTTGGAGGGGGGGGGGGGGGCTGGTAAATGACTAGGATGACATATTTTTTTTCTTCTTCCCCAGAATTTTCCTAGCTAGGGTAAATTGTTATCCTTCTTGCTTCTTGTAATGCATGTGTGATGGGCTATATGAGAGGGAAGAAGGAAAAAAGAAGGGAGGAACATGAATGCGTAGATCTTGAGGAGAAGGGAAATTGGGATCTAGTGCATACTCTAAGTAGGAATAGGAAAGTGTCTAAGGGAGAGTGATTAGAAAGGCTGTGACTAGTTATTTATGACGATTGTTTCTTGATGGCAATTTCAAAAAAAAACGAGAGACATTCTTCTATTGTTGCTTTGCTCTGAAAATAAATGTATCTCGCCTTAAACCCTCCCGTTTCCTTACAAACTATCTATGTACAAAGAAAGTTGTCCTTACACCCTTGCTCTATCGCTCCCCATAGAGCCAAAAGTGCTCAATAAGCACGCCATTGCTCTATAGAGGCGGGTTGGCGTTCTTGACAAGTGCCTCAAAGTAGGCCTGGTTCCAGGCTCCAGCCTCGGGGCTGGGCTTGAAGGCATCGTCCTTGCCACAGAAGGAATCATAGCGCTTCGCGGAGGAGTCGCTGGTACCGTCGCTCTCGCCGCCAGGCTTGCCCCAGACACAGGCATCGATAAGTGGAGATCCCGTGTCAGTTGTAGGGCGACGACCGAATCCAGCACCGATGACATTGCACCAGTCACCCCACTCCTTGCGGAGACCAGTGACACCGTTGCGGCCTGTGTCGACAATGGCCTGACCGGGCATGCCTGCGGCGACAAGTTCGGGCGAGATCAGCGCAACGTACTTCTGCTCGTTTTGTGCCTTATTGTATTGGCCGTCGGGGGAATTGGCAAACTCCCCAGGCACCTGGTCAAGCGAGTTCCAGCCGGCAACGTTGGTCGAGATACCGCGGACTGCCTTGGGGCTGCCGGCGTTCTTATAGACCGTTGCAAGCTCCTGCGCACCCGGCTCTGCTTATAATTAGCTTTTTTTTCCCTCTCCCTATATGATTTCATGGAGGGTTAAAGGAGAGTACGTACTGAGATTGGCGTCCCAGCCGAGCCAGCCTCCGTGACCGGCATCAATGTACATGTTTACATTGGGGAGGTTCAGCTGCTTAAGCGCATACGCAACTCCCTCACGGTATCCGGAAGCAGAGGCCTGGCAAGTTGCCAAGTTGATGTTGGTGACCAAGTTGGGCAGAGAGTCGGGCTCAATGATCAGAGCGAAGGCGATGTTTGAGTATTTCTTGATGATTGCAACAATGGCTGTGATGGAGTTCCGGGTTAGTGGTTAGATCTACATAAAACATAGTCATAGTCTGTACTCACGATCAATGTATTGCGACTTGTAAATGTCGATTTCGCCAACGGCAAGTTCACCGTTGGACGCTTTGGCAGCACAGTCGCGACCAGGCAGATCATAAATGATGAGTCCGCGAATCTGGTTGCATGGAGTGTCCTTGATGATGTCGTCAAGCATCTTGATCTTGTCACGGGTGTCACTGAATTGCACGTCAGTATCCTCTTCACTAGAAAGCCATACAGCCCGAGCTATGAAGGCCTTACATCCAGAAAAAGCTTCCAATATCAGCGACCTTGGCCGCTTTTGCTGCAAGTGACGAATCAGTGATTTTGGTAACGGCTGCTTTGACCTCGGAAGCATAGAAACTATTGACGGCGAGGGTGCGATTGGCAAACGGGTTTCCAGATAGCGTGACGGGAGAAGAGCATACTGCCGACTGGCGGCGCTCAACAGGAGAAGGAAATGCAAGAGCGCCAGAGATGGCCGAAGCCACGGTTGCGGAGAGAAGACCTTTCATGGTAGTGGCTGTAAGAGAACGTGCGAATGCAAGAGAGCGTATGGTAGTTTGGATGCGGAAACATTCGAGTGACGAGCCTCCTTCTTATACAACTCACGTATTAGCAGCCTAGAATTGGGATACTCATCCGTCGGAAAGCAGGCCCGAGGGTGAATGACAGGGGGCAGTTGTCAGGTTTGAGCGATCAGCCCTCAAGAAATAAGATTTAGATGAACGTATATCATGCGGGGAATGATACTATAACCAAGTTTACGTGTAATAAAGTACCTCTTTAGTAGGAGACAAGAGTGCCATTCTTGCAGTGGTGTCGCGATCTGGCACTTGGATAACTTCTGATGAGCTGGCCCTTGTTGGAGCGACAGTGCCTTGCCATCTCAAATTTCATCGATGAGACAGCGTTGGAACATTTCTCGAAGCCTCCTCCCAAAAGTAGGATTTGAAGCGCCAATGGTACCTAATTTGGCTATGTGTATGCGTTCTTGATTGGCAAATATGACTAGCAGGGTCAATAGATGAATGTCTTACGAGAGACTTTGGAACTGCGGGGATGTTGGCTTTCCGAGCCTCTACCCCGCGGTCTCGACGTTAATCTCTCAGCCTCATCTATGAACATCCCCACGAATCGACTATGGGAATGGTAGTGATGTTCGAGTATATCAAGCAACGAGATGGCCTCAATAGACCACGTCTACCATTCCACAATCGTGGCTTGATCACTACAAACTGAAGCACCGGGACATTGTGTAGTTACCCTCATTTGTGAGCACATGTAAATTTGTACTTGCACTGTGCGGTACACGACTCCGAGCCGCCGGATGACGCAGCAGTGATGGGCCTGCATACCGCGTGTTGAAGCTATATGGCCCCATGGCATAGATGTATCAGGTGTTGAAAGAATGAGCGCGTTGTTTGGCGTACTTGAATCAAGCGCATGTATTCGGCCCGGGATGTTTTGGCTGAACCGCCTTCTCGAAACATTCTGCCGCGCACATGACTACCCAATTTGATGAAGGTAGATCTTGGACACTGCTGAGAATTCATTTATCCTGACACACGGCATAATGTACAAACTTCTGGAAGGTGGACCATGGCAGTTGTTCCATGCAAGGGTGAGTGCCATGTGCAACGAGAAGTCAAGTCCACGAACGAACGGGAGGGCGTCGTAGTCTGGAGCAAACGAACGGCTAGCCCTTGGTGTTACCAGATTGGTTTTAACTTGTCTACCACGTCATGGTTCAGCATTTCCCTATGCGAAGGGCAGTGAGGATCTGGAGGGCTGCGGATAGTCAGTGGGGAAATGAAGCATCTCCCTCAAAGTGACTTGGACTGGAAAACAATTTGCTACTATTACTGGGGTGCCGTCGTATATGTTGCGGTGTTTGTATCATAGGTAGACTGGGACGCGCTGCATAGTGTCGCAACCAACCACAGGAGCCTCGGTCGTATAAGGTGATGACAGCAATCTTGCAGAGGCGACATGTGAGTGGGTGAGATGTTTGGAAACTCCCGGATGTCGGGTAATAGGAGATACCTGCCGCCCTGCACCACGTTTAGTCCTATCTGGTGTTAGCGGCAATATCGAAAGGTTCTTGGTTCAGTCAAGCTCCGCATTCTGGCCCCGCAAGCCTTGCACTCGGCCGAATCCTTAAGCTTATGTAGACTTCCGTACCTTTTTGAGACTCTCTGGATTGATGGTGACCATGCGTGGAGCAGGATCGGGCGAAGACTCTGTCGCTGCCGACATCATTCACATTGTTCTCCCCTCGGTCTACTGCGTAGGCTTTGACATCCGAAGCAAGTCGGCATAACACCACAATCGCAGGTCAGCCGTATGCTCGTGTCCATGTCCAACTTATATTGATGCTACCAAGCTTTTGCGACGAATCACACCACCGCAATCCCATGAGGACACCACGGTTATAGTTTCGTTGTTTCCTGGCCTTCCTCTTTTGATCAATTTGCGCCCAGTCCCGACATTATTAAGTGAGACTCACGAAAAATTACTTCTGGCCCAGTGTTGGTTCTCCATATGGTACTTTTCTCAACAAGTATGCCGACGAACTACGTCGCGGTTTTACAGCTCAAGGGACGAGGGAATAACTTGAACAACTTGAAGGACTAATGGAGTTCGCTGAAAATAACCCAAACATCGAATAGGATACGGAGTAAACTACTTCTCTCAATATTCTGCGAACGAATGCTATCTGGCAAACCCACCATGACCAGACTTCGCGGCCGTATGTGGAGCCTATGCACTAGCCCCAAATGGCTTAGCCTCTCACATTTGACCAAGTCTCCTTCGCTGGCTCAAGCACCCCACGCACGACTCTTACCATTACGCTGGGAGTGAAGAATTTTGTCAGAAGCCTTAGTAAATGTGGTTCAATCAAATGCTGGCCCTCTGATTGAGAACGCACTTTTCCCTAGTACAAGACTCAACACGATGCGGGGTAAAGGGTGTTACTACTAACTCATCTCGATCTCGATTGGGCCAACTGGACGTCGGCATTCGGAAAGATAGAAAATCAGGCCAGCAATGTCCAAGCCGTTGACTGAAGCGGATATTATATTCCCGCATCTCTCTAATACGCCAAACTTATCAAGTACCCTCTCATCGTTGCGCCGTTCAACGCTCTCAACACACAACCGGCTCGCCTCAATAATATCCGACAGTGCTTTTGTCGAATCTGTTGCATTCGCCTATGGCCTTCCTCTGGTAGCAAACGAGCGCTGTGGTAGTTGGTACATTCCGCCATATCTGAAGTCCGGATCCGTCTACTTTAAAAGCACAGACGGCCATATGGGCGAGTGGAGTTTCAGTCTGCGAAGGCTAAATTTGCAGTTATTCGATGTGGTAGAGAAATGGGGAGGTGCAGTTGTAGTGGATAGCACCAGGAGGGGAAAGAGTATGCCGGATGCATTGAGTAAGACGATTCCAATGTGGTGTTGCGTGATGAATCGAGCGGTGTTTGGTGGGGAGAAGGTAGAGGCAGAGATGAGGCTTTTTACACCACCGCAAGCTGTGGGGGAGAGCGAGCATGCGCAGATGGAGAAGAGAATTGATGGCTTTGTACAACAATTTTTGGTATGTTTCCCTAGTCTGCTGAAATGCTGAGATGTAGTGGCTGATAGAACCAAAGGACATTTGCAAACCCAATATCCCACTTCTCCGTAGTAAGCTGAAAAAGCCACTCCGACCTATATGGATAACGCAAAAATCTTCTCTTCCGGATTCAGCTCCCTCTTTTCCAGACTTTCATCTCATAGTCCTCTGCACAGCGTCACGGCGTGTTCATGGCGCCGAGGCATCAGAAAGCGGATATATTCAGGGCGCTGCAGACGACCACGAGGCCTGGTCACACGGACTTACACCGTCACTCTTCTGGGAAAACAAGGATATTTTGATGAGGGTGAACGAAGAAGATGCTCCAGAGGTCATTGCAAAGCTCATTAAAGAACAAAAATGTGGTGGTGCAATTGCGAGTTTGATCAAGCCTACATCACAGCTATACATCTCATCCAGCGAAGACGTACAACTGGCGGGTTTTGAAACTGTAATCAGCTGCACACCCGAGCCGTTTTCAAATTCAGCACTCAAAGATGCGGGAGTAAAACGCTACCTTAATCTGAAATGCCAGACTGGTAAGCTGGGGTCACGCGACCTTCGCACTCAGCTTCCTCATCTCATACCGTTCTTCTCTTCTCTTCAAACTTCCAAAACACAAAACAAAATACTAGTATGTTGTCCAACAGGCAAAGATCTTTCCGTTGGAGCTGCACTGGCGATATTATGTCTTTACACAGACGAAAGCGGAGCAATCAATACAGGGAAAGCGAAAGAAGCCAAGGGCATGGATAAATCATTCATCAAGCAGAGAATGAGCTGGATCACCACGAGTAACGCAGCTCTAAACCCAAGTCGAGCAACACTACAAAGCGTCAACGCCATGTTACTCTCGAGTCAAGACCCAAAAGCCTCTCTCCCCACACAACCAACGGCGAACCTTCCAATCCGCAAAACCAGACCATTACCCTTTGAACCCCCAAACCCGACGCCCCAGGACCCAGTTCCCGAACCCCCACTCGCCAGTCCCAGATCCATCTTCACCGCCCTCGCCACCACCTCAACCTGGAAATTCACCCGTAACCTCACCTCCAAACTCCCCAGCCACCCTTCTGGTACCGTAGCCGGCACTGCGACATTTACCGCTATGCCGCATTCCCCTTCTATCCCCATACCAACCCTTCTCTACGCCGAAGAAGGCACATTCAGCACAACCACCGGCCTAAGCTTCACCGCGCGCAGGAAATACGTGTACCAGCTATGCCCTGGTTCTACGCCTGCAGACACCGAGTTCATCGCCGTACGCTTCTTCGACGACGACAAGATGCGCGAGGCGCGGCAGGAGGGTGGGGTAGGAAGTGATGGGCAGGGAGTTGGGGGGTTGTTTGTTGAGATGGGGGAGCTGCAGGCGGGCGAGGGGGAGAAGGTGGTTAGAGCGAAGAATAGGGAGACCCATCTTTGTGGAAGGGATTTGTATGCTGCAACGTGGGCTTTTGCGAGGGATGTGACGCTGGAGAGCGAGGCGAAGCGGGAGGGGGAGGGGGAGGTCTGGTGGGAGGTCGAGTACGATGTCAAGGGGCCGCAAAAGGATTATACGAGTGTGACGAGGTATACACAAGTGGTGGAGTAGGGTAGTTTTATGTACATTTGTTTTTTTTTTCTCTTTTAGCTATGTTGGATGTGTGATGTATCTCGCTTTCTGAGCTTGCTTCGACACCAACTTGTTAGATTGGGGGACTGACTTCAAGAATCCTGATCCCCAAATGGATAATTGAATTTCAGCAACGCATTCAGACCGCCTACCCAATGATCCTCGGCTATATCTTCCTTGCCTGTTGTGCCTCTGACAATGCTGGGTACGCCGCCTTCCCAGCCTCTAGCATCGCGCTTGACCTCCTCCCCGCTTATGCGGACTTCCATGCCTGTACCCAGTTTCTCGGTGATAGTACTACCGTCGATACTAACTTCGACTTCTCGGCCACGATTCTTGGCCCCTAGACGCAATGTAATGGGTGTTTCGGCGGGTAAGACTAAGGGTCTGAAAGAGAGGGAGCGGGGGCAGATGGGAGTGAGACAGATTGATGGGACGAGAGGGTGTACGATGCTTCCGCCAGAGGAAAGCGAGTACGCGGTTGAGCCCGTAGGCGAGCTGATAATCATACCGTCTGCGACAGCTTCAGTTAGAAACCGATTATTGATGTATACATCGATAACCTTGAGATGTGGACTTCCGCCGCGGTGCAGCGTGACTTCGTTCAACGCGTAGGTATCGCCCTCATCATCTGTGCTCCCGATCCTCTTGCCGTCAGGCCCGAAAACACCGACTTTAAGCCTGTTTCGGAGGAGGATGCGCGCCGTCCTGTTGGTCCCCATTGCCTTGCCGCGTATATCGGCGTAGCTCAACGGCTTGTCTAGAGGGTCATCGGGCGAAGAAGGCAAGCGTGGTGGGCTTTTGCCCAAGGAATCAGATAGCGTTGCGTACGTGTCTGGTGCACCGCTCATGTACACTTCTCGAAATGCCCGCTTGTATTCTTTGAATTTGAATTCGCCCAGGAAACCGATTGTGCCCATGGCGAAGCTTAGGACGGGAGGTACATTTTGGGAATGGCTGAAGAGGCTGCTAGCTCTCAGCAGCGTCCCGTCTCCGCCTAGAGTGCAGACCAGATCGGTTTTATCCGAAAGCTGCTGCGGCACACCGTTACTTTTCTTGTATGTGTATACGGAAAAGGAAAGTTTTTCATGCAGCTCCTCTGCTGTTTCTGGGTCGAAGATGACGTTTATGGCGGGGTAGGTGGAGCGGATATGCGACGTGAATTCGATGACGGACTCGGTAATGTTGGGCGTGCGTTTCTTCTTGGTGACGAGGATATTTCGCGGCGGCGATGGCCATTGCAAGCTGAGGAGGGTGTTGTTGGGCGACTGTATGTACGACGGCTGTGTGCGCAGAGGCAGGTCGGAAATGTACTTGATCTCGCGGCGGCGGGGTGTCGAAGAAAAGCTACGCGCGTGCGCGGGCGAACCAAGGAGCCGCCACGGCCGAAGGTATCTCTGGGACATGCGCATCTTCTGGGCGCTGTGTACAAAGAAAAGAACACGACTGTAGTTGTGTGCGATGCGGTGCGCAGAGGCTAAGCCGGCGGGTGGATGCCATATGACTGGGCGATGACGAGGGCAAGGGCGGGAGCAGCAGTCATGGCGATGCTGGACCGCGAGGGACGAGCAGTGGATACAGAGGTGCCACGCAGAAGATACATACTAGATGGATACATGGGCAACAGTAGAGTCGTGATGCGGAGATAGCAGAGCTAATCTCCACCTTCACGTGCAAGCAACGTGTCGGCGGCGTGGGATGGGATGCGAGTGAAGGAGAGCCTAGCGTCCCGCAGCGCTCGGGCAATCCCTGCACAGGCGGGGTACTATCTTTGGCCCGGTGCCATCATCTCAGATGGACTGAGGTGGATCGGCATCAGCCTGTTACCCTGCGCGTCCACGACACCATGAGCATGGGTATATGCTCCGAGCTGTCGCCTGCTTACCCTGCCTCGTCGTCCTTCTCTCCCCCTTCTTCTGCCAGGCAACCGCTACCTTGATCCTTGGATGTCCACCATTTCTCGTTACGCCACGACTCCCCGTCACATGCTCAGACCACGATTCACGCGCCCATCTGAGCACTCCGGCCGCTTCCACTCGGTACACCCATGTACATTCGCTGCACCAGCCCTGCCCTGAGCCAAAAGAATTATCTGACAGCTGTCTGCACATGCTTCCTCCCAACCTCACCATGTCGATCGAAGGCCTCAGACAGCGGCAGATGCCCGTTGAGCCACCTGTCATCGCAAAGCTAAAAGCACAGCGTACCAAAACACCAGCCCGTTCACCGGGCCCTGAACCAGCCCAGCATCCAGCGGGCGACATCAAGCATGGCGCCTTTGCACAGGCCCTGCGCATGTTTTTGTTCGCAGCCTACTTCGCTGGGAGCATCATGGCGTCAGTATACACACATGGCGCATAGGCCCCCACAGGATGCTGACTCTATGTTCCAGCATCGCCATCACGCAGTATTTCGGCTGCCCGTTGTATCTATACAGCAAGAACCTCTTTTACGCATGGATGGCCATGTCCAAGCAGCATTTTGGCATCGTCATCACCACCATGACCTACTGTTGGGCTCCCGTTACCATGCGAGTCAGCGGAGATAAGAGCATGAGGGGACAGCTGAAAAAAACAAAGGATGGGAGATTGGAGTCCGACTTTCCTGAACGACTAGTCCTTATTTCCAACCACCAAGTCCGTCTACCCGTCCCGTCCCGCTTCTCCACCAACAACCACTGACTATCTCCAGATTTACACCGACTGGGTCTACCTCTGGTGGGTGGCCTACACGGCCTCGATGCATGGCCATCTCTACATTATCCTCAAAGAGTCGTTGAAGTATATACCCGTCATAGGCTGGGGTATGAGGCTATATGGCTTCATCTTCCTCTCGCGCAAGTGGTCGACGGACAAGGAACGTTTTCAGCATCGGCTGAAAAAGCTGACTACCAGCCATAGCGGCCCGCTGTCTGGTTCTCAGGAACTTGACCCCATGTGGCTACTCATCTTTCCCGAAGGCACAAACCTCAGCGTAAACGGTCGAGCATCAAGTAGGAAATGGGCAGAAAAGAACAAGATTGATGACTTGAGGCATGCAATGTTACCAAGAAGCACTGGGTTGTTATTTTGCTTGAAGGAGCTCAAGGGTTCTGTCGAATATCTATATGATTGCACCGTAGCCTATGAAGGCGTCCCGTAAGCTCGTCCGCATTCTATTACTAATCTCTATGACAACTAATCTTTACCAGCGTCGGCCAATACGGCCAAGATATCTTCACCCTCCGCGGTACCTACTTCCAAGGTCGCTCTCCAAAATCAGTAAACATGCACTGGCGACGCTACGCCACCGCTGACATCCCAGTCCACGATGAAAAGGAATTCTCCGACTGGCTGCTCCTGCGTTGGCGCGAAAAGGATGACCTCTTACAGTACTTCGTCGAAAACAATCGTTTCCCTGCGGACGACGGTGAAACACCTAATGTCGACGGTGGAGAGCCATTGAAGGGCGCAGGCTGGATCGAGACGGATGTTCGACCGGTCAAGTGGTACGAGTGGTTGCAGATTTTTGTTCCGACAGCCGCTCTTGGGCTCATCGTCAACGTATTTGTCAAGATTTTCAACATTGTTATGAAGGTGGCTGGTGTGAAGTCTAAGGCGTAGACTGCCAAGGAAAAGAAAGAAGGAAAAACCTTGAAGTCGGGCTAAAGAAGTAATCGGGTTGTTGTAAAGCCTGGAGTTGCTCAGGCTTGGTCGTCGGCTGTTGTTGCTACGTTCGCTGGGGTGTGGTACATTTGTAGGTAGATCGCTTTGATACCCCTCGTCCATTTTTCGGATGTTACTCTCTACTCTGATTCGTTACGCTTGTAGTGTAAAAATTAATACAAGGAATGCAATTGGAAATAGGGTACAAACTAGATAACAACTAAGTAAATTCTTCACGGAGTGTCTCTTAAGAACTCATCCCCACAATCATTTAGCTTTTGGACACCGTAAAGGACACTCGTTCAAGATACATCAGCTTCATAGCTAGACGCCGCCTTGACCTTGTCGCTACTACTAGTGGTCCAATTGCGATGTTGTTACGAATGGCCCGAGATCCTGAGTTGATGAACCGAACTCCATTTGGCTTTGCATGGTGGAGGATTGAATGAAGAATATGGATGATCTGACGTTGTGAAGAAGCGTTGACTTGGACGTGTCTATCTTGCTTTGGATATCAGCTAGATGCTTGCCACATTTTGGTAGCAAACCTTGATATGAAAGTCACGTATTGTCAGTAGTTTGAGCGCACTTTCCTAGCCCCCGAACATCGCTTTTGGGTATGGATAGTATTCTAAACAATGTTGATCTTGCAATCGAGAGAATGCTCTGCACGACATCACTCGCAAGAAGCGAAAATCGCTAGTCCAAATGCAGCCTAGCAGTTACCGAAATTCACCCCCACCCGTGACTCCACATAGAGAGGCTCAACCCTCAAGATTCGCCATCGCAGTCCTGCAAACCCCAGACAACACAAATCTGCCCATAATGGCGACGATGACGGTAACAGAGACACAAAATAAGAGGAGGCTGCCGAAGAATGTAAAGTTGCCACCTGAGAATGAGCGCTACATGCGGGCATGCGCAGATATTGCGTCGGCGCTCATCCAAGACTACGAATCCCAGGCGGATGGAACAAAACCAAAGAAAGATTTGAACTTGAATTCCTTGCGCGGCCAGATTGCAAAGAAGCATTATTTGAAGAGTCAGCCGCCGCTTACAGCGATTATTGCGGCCGTGCCAGAGCACTACAAGAAATATATATTGCCAAAACTCATTGCAAAGCCAATCCGTATGTTTGGATGAAATGACACAAGTTTAAGAGAAAAGAAACGGGCTGACCAAGTAAAAAGGTACATCATCGGGTATTGCAGTAGTGGCAGTCATGTGCAAGCCACATCGCTGCCCACACATTTCCTACACTGGCAACATTTGTGTATACTGCCCAGGAGGCCCAGATTCAGACTTTGAATACTCGACTCAATCATACACGGGTTATGAGCCAACATCTATGCGCGCCATCCGAGCGCGATATGATCCGTACGAGCAAGCTCGTGGTCGTGTCGATCAAATCAAATCACTAGGCCACAGTGTAGACAAAGTCGAGTACATCATCATGGGAGGTACATTCATGTCTCTCCCAGAGTCTTACCGAGATGAGTTCATATCACAGTTGCACAATGCCCTATCTGGGTACCAAACCAAGGACGTGGATGAAGCCGTTGCAGCCGGTGAAATGAGCAACATCAAGTGCGTCGGTATCACAATCGAAACACGACCAGACTACTGTCTGGACCAACATCTCTCATCCATGCTACGGTACGGATGCACGCGTCTAGAAATCGGCGTGCAATCCCTCTACGAAGACGTAGCCCGCGACACAAACAGAGGCCACACCGTCGCCGCCGTCGCAAAAACCTTTTGCCTCGCCAAAGACGCAGGCTTCAAAGTCGTATCGCACATGATGCCCGACCTCCCCAACGTCGGCATGGAACGCGACCTCAACCAGTTCGTCGAGTACTTTTCCAACCCGGACTTCCGCACTGACGGCCTCAAAATCTACCCTACCCTCGTCATCCGCGGCACAGGACTCTACGAGCTATGGCGAACAGGCCGCTACAAAAACTACACCCCCAACGCCCTCATCGACATCGTCGCACGCATCCTTGCTCTTGTGCCGCCGTGGACCCGCATCTACCGTGTGCAGCGTGACATCCCCATGCCGCTCGTCACTTCCGGAGTTGAAAACGGTAATCTACGCGAACTAGCACTCGCCCGCATGAAGGACTTCGGTACTTCTTGTCGCGATGTGCGGACAAGGGAAGTCGGCATCAACGAGGTCAAGCATAAGATTCGTCCGGACCAGGTCGAACTCGTGCGGAGAGACTACACGGCCAACGGAGGGTGGGAAACGTTTCTCGCGTATGAAGATCCCAAGCAGGATATCTTGATTGCGCTGCTGCGTCTGCGACAGTGCTCAAAAGAACACACTTTTCGTCCGGAGCTGACGGGCCAGCCGTCGTCGCTGGTGCGCGAGTTGCATGTCTATGGGTCGGCGGTGCCGATACACGCGAGAGATCCAAAGAGGTTCCAGCATCAGGGCTACGGTACGCTTTTGATGGAGGAGGCAGAGCGGATAGCGAGGGAGGAGCATGGAAGCACGAAGATTAGCGTCATCTCGGGTGTAGGTGTCCGCAGTTACTATGCGAAGCTTGGGTACTGGCTAGATGGGCCGTACATGAGCAAGACGCTCGAGCCATCGTGGGAGAGGGAGTGGTAAGCCACGTGATTAGGGTATGGACTGATGATAGATGAGATGTGCATTGCTGGCGCTGGATACTGTATTGTTCAGTTTTGGTACCAACGGGATGCGATGCAAAGGGTCAAGACATGCGCGTGAAAATAGCATGTATTGTACTAAATCAAACGTCTTGTTGCAGACCGCAGAAATCGCCTGTATCCCTCAAACGCCGTTTGCCATGTTACAAGATACAAATACCTCCATCTCTCTTCAACAGGTGCGTCGCTGTCTTATCGACCTGACCTTCCTGCATCGCGTCTATCGATCCTCTGATCTTTCTCAAGGCCGCATTATCCTACGATCGTGTCCTCCGTGATATCCGAAATCATGACAGGCTTATCGCGCCACGACGGCTTTCGCGCATGTGAAGGAGGGCCTGCAGTCCGCAGAAAACGAAGAAGCCCTATACCCAGTTAGCGAATCGCGCTGCTCTACGTGATAATAAGAACATACAATGTATATGAAGACGGCCCCAAAGAGTGCGCCTGCAACCGCGCCACCGTCCTTGGGGTCTTCCTCTCCGCCCATTACCGTGTTGCTACTTCCCTATAAGGCGCATGTTAGCTATTTCCTCGGTTCCTCTTGATGCTGAGAGATGCGCGACAGCATCTTTGATACTGTGATGGCGCATTTGCAGGGTAGACATACTCTAAACAGTGCTCCCAGCGTGGACAGAATGACAATCGCGAACAGGGACACGACAATGCTGCCAACCCATTAGCTTCCTCATATTCCTTTCAAACAGCCCTAAATCGCACATACCATGTCCAAGCATTCATGGCGGAAACAACAGGCTTGACCATGTTGGGCAGTTTGGAGCTTCGGTATCACTTGGAGGCGGATAGCTTCTTAACGGCGCTTGCGGGGCACCACGACTCTAGCTGCTATTGGGTATCCGAAGAAAGGCAATAACGTTGATACGGCGATTTCGAGAGTGAGATGGACGGTTCGAGGACTTGTCGGTATTGCGATGGCGATGTTGTGGTTGGATGGATGAATGACCCGAAGCTTCAAGTCGTCATGCCTCGCCATCTGCAGCTATTGGGTGGTCTGTGCGTGCCGCGTGCAAAGCCGCCGTATGAGAATGCGCATCAACACCTCTTTTCCTGTGATTGGTTTCAACCATGGATTTCCTAAGCTGTTCAATGTGTCAAAATGACGGTGTTTTTCTCTTGAGTTGAAAAACAAATCATTGTAAAACATCGATTTGGGATTTGACCTCGTGGTTCAAGAATCGACAGTTGGGGGGATACGAAGCGGGCCGTAGTAAGCTCCGCATGGAGATGTGAAGAACTGGGTATTCTGGTGGTATTTGCGGTCGCCTAACTTTCCCACGCGGTTGTGCTTTTCCTAGTTTTGTACCATAGTATACTAGGGTTATAGTGGTTCCTGGCTGTCTTTGTGTTTAGGCGCCATGGGTGAACTTCATGCGATGATGTGGTTCGGGTTCGGGTCATCGGACTTGGAATATCTAGTATCATCCTTTGGTATTTCTAGAACACAAGAATTTACTAGAGAACTGGAACTAGAACACTGGGACTACGCACCATCTTCCGTGTCTTCGTTTTGGTGGCAACAGCTCGCCGTTTCAAATGTTTCGAACCACAGAACAGTGACATCGAAAGACGGCTGCACACGATACATGGTGCTCTCGGGGCCCTGGCGGCTGTATAGGCGCACATCCAGAGCCTCTTTCCCCACGTTTTTCTTGTTCCTGGTAAAATGAGCATTTAATATCCGACCCCGGCTCTACGCTTTAACTCACCTAGTGCTAAACGGAGTTCAGCATAAACATGACCGAATTGTTGTTCTATGCCCTATCAGCGGGCAAGTCAAACCGCGCACTGGCTGGACTGCGCACCGCGCACCACGCATTAAGCCGGCCTGCACATTCCAGAATTTGATACGGGCCGCTTCATGTGCGGTAAGACCGGTTTGTTTGTTATTAGGCTACAGTGAAATGGGTAATGCTTTCGCGCCTTATCTCAAAGAAAAGAAGCACTCGTGCCATCAAGCAAAGTCTGGACATACTAAGTAGCGGTGAACCAGACTGACCATGTTAGTGTACCGAGAAATTTAAATGAAAGCGCCAGTAGTAAATGCCCAGCAGCTAGTCATACTAAGGAAGGGAAAGTAGGGAGCTTGTGTTGATTTTCCCTTGAATTATTCCGTCGAGAAAAGCTTATGTCGCTGGTTGCGGAGAAACTGCTTGCATATTATATTCATTTCCTAGTATGAAACAACATTCAGAACTGAGAGCATAGGCACAGCCACTTCTTTCTGGGCTAATTTCCGAGACTAAAGTGAAAATCTTCCAGAAAATAAGTAAAACCCTTAGCTGGCCTCAAAGAGATTAACACCCCTGTCTTCATGTACATCTCCTTTGCTTTGATCGACCGCACCACTGGGCACATAGTGACGCCCGACCTAGCCGATTCGTTTTAGCCTTTTGAAGCCGTACTCTGAAAACAGAGGTCCAGTGCGAGGACCAGCCCTGTAAACCCTAGGGAAACACGGCCACATGTAAACCAATTCATCCACAAATCCATGGTCGGGCCGAAAACGACTCATCGTCACCGCTAACCAACCTACGGTATTACTAACAGAAGAGATTCTACTCTTTATGGTTAGTGAATCTTTTGTTCAAATGCCATAAGAAGCGCTTCATCCAAGGCCCATTCACTTCTTTACTCCTCGTCCAGCACGTCAAACTCCACCAGACAATCACATCAACCTCATTTCCCAACCACCAAACACCGTCACCATGAAGATTGCCACCCTCGTACTCCTCTGGGCCACTTCTGCCGCCGCCGGCTGGGTGAGTGTTCTTCTTCCAAGATATGCAATTTCTAGAGGCTAATTCTTCCGAATTATAGGAATGCAGGAATGAGGGCGAGAAGTTCAGGAGCGACAAGGCCGCGGTTACTAAGCAGCATACTTCAGAAACAAGCTGGACCTACTGCCCTGAGGATGCTGGCTGCTGCACGGATGGAAATGTGTGGTACACCTGCAAAAACGTAAGTCTTGTCCATCCTGTGTCTTTGGATGAGTGATTTGCTAATCTCACTGTAGACATGCCCAGGTGGACGGAACTGCGCTAACGGTTGCTAAGCATTGGTGGAGACATGAAGTGTGGGAAGGACTGTTTCCAGCCTCCTCCTAGCTATTCATATCGCAACATATAGATTATCTACATTCTTCCGTAAATAATTAACTCATGGTTTTCAATCCAAAGCAAGGATCAAACGTGTTCCCATGTTAGTTGTGAGCTGTGACACCAGGCAGCGCATTCAACATTGCATAGTGGCGGATGTTCTCTTGAGATTTCAAGATCAGCTTACAATTTTTAGTAGCAAAAGACTCATTGCCTTGTATTATAGATTGAGATCGCCAGTAAACGTCACATTTTTCTTGGAATAGAATTGAGAGGTATAATAGAGTAGTTAATGTTGATTTCTGGCATAGTCATGATTGCAAAGAGTTGAGATTGTTAGTTTTGCTTCTACAGTATCCATTCAATACCAAGACTTACTTTGCCACTATTTATCACATGCGGCATCAGTTGTCAAATCTCGCCATCCATCTCAATAATCCTTTCAATCGCTGTTTTCTGCCACCACTGTTCTTCTATAGCCAGACGATCACGCTTACCCAACGTTGTGATAACCAATGTCATTAATCATCTTTTTTCCAACCAATCGTCTTCCACCAGCTCCTTCGCTGTTGGGCGGTCTCTCCGGTCAAGCTTCATCATCTTGGATATGAAGACATTGTCTCTTTTGGTTACTTCCTTCTCAGCAGCCCGTATAGATGTAGTTGTCTTCTCATGTGGAATCGACTGTACGAGGTAAAGAATGGATAGAGCTGCTTCTATCTGTGCAATCTTAGCAATTTTAGCCGGGTAAGGAGCAAAGAATTTGAATTGATTATCGATAACCCCAAGTGAGTACCATTCGTCATCCTGTATCATTCCCTTGGGTCTGAAAAAGTTGAAGTGCCCACCGTAAATGAGGCTGATGAGCTACGGAGACATCAGCTTTGATTTGTACCCATCATAGTGGTAGGATTGCGACCTACCATAATACCGAACGAGCATATGTCAGCGGCAATATTTCATGGTATTCATAAGATAATCTGTAGGCTCGTCCACATTGGCGTTCCCACCATGGTGCCAAATGTAGTCCACTCTGAATCAGTGGGGTAACATCCACCCAAGTCGCCCAGTTGGACTTCAGAAAACCGTATGTCGCCTCTACGTAGATTGACAACCACGTTTTCTGGCTTAACGTCTAAGTTTCTCGTCAGTTATATACGTGCCATGGCCTATAGAAGTTACCTTCGTACTTGCGTGCACGAACCCATCATCATGTAAAGTCTTGATTGCCTCAAGGACGCATCGCGACATGTATTTCAATTCTCGCCGATTTAGTTTCTTCGCAACAGACGCTTCTAGAAGGTCTTCTTGCGAGTGTTTCAGAACTATAGTTGTAGGGATAGATGGCTCGTTGATTTCATCAATCAGGATCGGAGGTACGAAGTGCGTTGCGGGAATCTTTTGAGTACATCTCGTTCGTTTTCAACCCGCAGATGATCCCAGACGCTCTTAATGACCACTAGTTCCTGCGCACAGTTACTAGAAATTGTGAGAATGGATGATACAGACGTGACGTGGTATGCTTACCGTGCATACCACACAGTATCTTGAATTTCTTTCATAATCGTGTATTTGCTCGCACGCCATTTCAGAAATTGATCAATCCCGAATATTGATGACATTGGATAACGGTCAAATTTTACTTTTGAGTACAGTCGGCCTTGCTCAGAACTAAACAAGGGTTGTTGTTCGTACAAGAGGCCAAGAAACTGAGGATGGACAGGTTTGACGAGGAAGGTTTTGGACAATGGCACAAATTCCGAAATTTTGGGTAGCCGTGGTGGCTGCGTACTTTGTTTTCAAGCAAATGCATAGTCGCAAGACTATATTGGTATCGGAAGCGACACATGACCTAAAATGCGTATCCCACGTGATCACGCGTGTAGGTACCATAATTCTGATATATTGGCATATGACCGCGACACTTTTCTTCTGCACACCAGATAGAAAACGATCAACCATATGGCTGTCATGTAATGCATCCTAATAGTTCAAATCTTCTCAACGTGCTATCTTCGACGGCGGGCTTATCATTGAATCATGTAGCAGGGAGGGTTTAATCACAATGTTTCCTTAGTAATTGAGTCGCAATCACGCGATTTTCCAGAGCTTAAGTCATAATATAGGTGATGCGGTCCATACTGTATCATGAATAGACAGTGGTTTGGTCGAAGTACACCACTGACGGTGCAGGGGAGATTGAGCCATAGCACTAGTCCATATACGGGTGATATAGGCAGCAGTCACGTGTTTTCGTGGTTTCTCATGACGGAGACGCGTCGCTGAACCCCACCTAGTTGTGGCGACTTTACCGGCTGAAGGGGGTAATCAGAACATTTCGCCTCTTCTGTTGCACAAAAAGATCGGCATACTCGCGCTTCCTTGCCGTGTTGCCACCTTGTCCCTGAATTTGCCACTCAGATCCCGTGAACGCGCGATCGTTCCTTTGTATCGGCGCGGGAGTGCCAGGGGTATATCGCCATTGACCCTTCGTCACACTCATTCTCACATCTCCATTCCCTTATCGAGGTACACCGTCGCTCATTCACCTTTTTCGGATTTCCCGCCTACTATACCTTCCAATCTTTTCTCACAGTCGCAGTTGCCTATCTTTCTGTAATCACTGTCACCATGGCACTGCGGCGATCCACCCGCAAATCAACTAACAGCGTCGCCAACGATGTTGCCCCCGCAAGCTCGCCTGTTCCTGCAGCTAGTATGTGCAAGCTGCTCTGGGCAAACGCTTTATTGATTGCCTTGCATCAATTGTGGTGCTGACATGTTTGTAGAAATAAAAGATTCCCCAGCAATGGATAGTCGCCACCAGCAGAAACGCACTCGCGCTTCTCACACCTTTGTTGCGAATTCGTCCGACCAAGAGAGCGATACGATTGAAGCCATTGTACCCAAGGGATCCACGCAAACTCGCCTGGTTCTCAAGGCAGTTTCGATCCCCGCTTCCAAAACTCAGAAGACGCCTGTCACTCGCGGTCGGCTCTCCAGTGTTAACGCCCGACAGACAGAACAGGAAAGCTCGACTGGCTCACTTTCGCTAGATAACTCAGACTATGAAACGCCAGGAACGAGCATATCGACTACACCAGCTGCTTCAGTTAACCGCGGAAAGATCCTCGCTCGCCGTGGCCGCAACGAGGTCACCACGCCGTCGCAAAGTAGCGCATCGATTTCGAAGAGATCCCGCAACACGGTATTAGAATCAGGCTCTGAAAGTGTGCCAGTCGATATGGATGCAGAGATCGCTCTACAAATGCAACTCGAGGACGAAATGGATATGCCGCGAAGCAAGCGTCAGAAGACGGAAGACGGCGAAGACGAAGATATGGAAGAAGACGAAGACGAAGACGAAGTTTCAGAGTTGGATGAGCTGGACTCGCCACCTCCCTACATCGGCAAAGGAAAAGGCAAGGCTCGAGATGTTCCAGTCAAGCGTGGTCGTTCTGCCCGCTCAAGTGCGCGGAAGAAGCGTAAATTCACAGAGGATGACTTCATCGATGACGAAGAATCTGATGGTGGAGATTTTCAGCCTGATGAGCATGAAGAGCACGATGACCTTGAGTCCCTGATCGCTCTTGAAGAGGCGATGCTTCCAAGCGACAGCGATGAGGAGCTACTAAAGAAAACCGCTGCACGCTTGAGAAAGCTTGCTGCAGCGAGGCCAGCCAGGATGGCTCGAGGCACTAAAAAGCAGTTGACTCACGATGAAAGGGTTGAAGCACATGGACGGCGGGCTAGGTTTGCGCACATTGCGGATAAATGGGAGCGGAAGCGCGCCATGAACCGTGAGCGAGCAGAACAGCAGCACCCCAAACTACGCACCATGTGGGATGACTTGAAGAAGGTTCCTGTTCTTGAGGTCCAAAAGGCAGAGCAGCCACAGTCAATCAACAGGCGACTGAAGCCATTTCAACTCGAGGGACTCAGTTGGATGATCCGCCAGGAACAGACTCACTACAAGGGCGGCCTACTTGGAGACGAAATGGGCATGGGCAAGACTATCCAGGCTGTCTCCCTGATAATGTCTGATTACCCTGCAAAGCATCCGACGCTTGTGTGCGTTCCACCCGTTGCTCTTATGCAGTGGACGAATGAGATACGCGAGTACACAGACAACAAGCTCAAAGTTCTCGTGTATCACGGCACAAACGCCAAGTGCAAAAAGATGACAGTCAAGGAGCTGAAGTCTTACGATGTCATTATGGTCTCCTACAATTCTTTGGAATCGCTGCATCGCAAAGAGACAAAAGGATGGTCCCGCGGGGAAGACATCATCAAGGAAGCGTCGCCACTCCACGCCATCTACTATCACCGCCTCATCCTGGACGAAGCGCACAGCATCAAGTCACGCAACACGGGTGTAGCCAAGGCTTGCTTTGCGTTGAGGAGTGACTACAAGTGGTGCTTGTCCGGTACACCAGTTCAGAACCGTATTGGAGAGTTCTTTTCACTCCTTCGCTTCTTGGAGGTTCGTCCCTTTGCAGACTACTTTTGTCGTTCGTGTGATTGCGAGAAGCTCCACTGGGCTACGAACGACGACCACATGTGTGTCGCCTGCAACCACGGGGCGTCCGAGCATATTTCCGTGTTCAACCAGGAGTTGCTTAATCCTATCACTGGTGATGATCCCGAGCTTCGAGAAGAGGCCTTGACCAAGCTTCACCTTATCACTGCTCGTATCATGTTGCGACGCATGAAGCGCGACCACACCAACTCCATGGAGCTTCCTATGAAGGACATCATCATCCACAACGAGTTTTTCAGTGAAGTGGAGCGTGACTTCTCGACCTCAATCATGTCAAACTCTTCGCGCAAGTTCGATACATATGTTGCCCAGGGTGTTATGCTTAACAATTACGCCAACATCTTCGGTCTGATTATGCAGATGCGTCAAGTCGCCAACCATCCTGATTTGCTGCTTAAGAAGAAGGCAGGTGAAGGCGCTAGTAATGTATATGTCTGTAACATCTGCGATGAACCGGCTGAGGATGCTGTTCGCTCTCACTGCCGCCATGAGTTCTGTCGTGCTTGTATCAAGGACTTCATGGATACTTGCGAGGCCTCAGGAACTGAGGCTGACTGTCCTCGCTGTCACATCGCCTTATCCATCGACTTTGAGCAGCCCGAGCTCGAACAAGACGAGGATTCTATCAAAAAGACGTCGATTATCAACCGCATCAAGATGGAGAACTGGACTTCTTCCACCAAGATTGAGATGTTAGTGTACGATCTGTACAAGCTCCGAAGCAAGAAGCAGACGCTCAAGTCGATTGTGTTCAGTCAGTTTACTTCCATGTTGCAACTGATTGAGTGGCGTCTTCGTCGTGCCGGTTTCAATACGGTCATGTTGGATGGTAGCATGACTCCTGCTCAACGACAGAAGAGTATTGACCATTTCATGACGAACCCGGATGTCGAGGTCTTCCTGGTATCTCTGAAGGCTGGCGGCGTTGCCCTCAACTTGACCGAGGCTTCTAGGGTGTTCATTGTTGACCCGTAAGTTTTATTATCCCCTGCCACTGTTCAGTCCGCTAACATGTCTTGAGATGGTGGAACCCTGCTGCCGAGTGGCAGTCTGCAGATCGTTGTCATCGTATTGGTCAGCGTCGTCCCTGTGTCATCACACGTCTTTGCATTGAGGACAGTGTTGAGTCGCGTATGGTTGCGTTGCAGGAAAAGAAGGCGGCCATGATTGCTGGAACGGTCAACAATGACAAGGTCGCCATGGACCGCCTTAGTCCTGAGGATCTGCAGTTCTTGTTCCGTGGTACCTAGGTCAGCTGGAGCGCTATGGTGTGCTATGCAGTGTATGGATATGGAGTTAAAAAGTGGTGCGTCGATCTTTGACGGCGCCATCATGTGTGGGCGTGTTTCACTCGGGATTCCAGGCGTTTTAAATTCTCGTAGTACAGAGCAATTCAAATAGGTCCATACCCATCATAATTCTCGCGCCATGTCCCCATCAGTGCAACGAGCCATGATTCTCCAGTAGCGAGTTTGTGATGTAGTGGTAGCCGAACGCAATGCAGATCACCTGTGTTTACTTTAGATTAGCGACTATGAGAATTGCACACTAAGACTGTAGTGTACATTCGCACATGTACAACAGAACCCTGTGTCGCATCTCCGTAGATCAAACATATGGTAAGAGTCTCTCATTCATCCAGCAACAAGAGAACACGGCTACCAGAAAGTCCTCCAGTTGCGCAAAGTCCCGCAGCAACAACGCTGCCATCGCTTACAATCACCATAGAACAACTACAACACACCCGTCACATCGCTTCACAGCAACAAGCAGGAAAACAAATCCATCGCAAAACCCCATCTCACCTATTTCCCCCAACACCAAACAAATCCGCGGGGGACCGAGGAGATGCTGTCGCAGTCGCGCGTTTATGGTACGTAATGTTACGTAACCCCGACCTCGCGCGTGAGCCCACCAACTGCGCAATTACCACCATTTTGTTCGCTGGCGCGACCGGTGCACCACGCGCAATAAGGCGCGGGTACGACGTCAAACCGTGTGAGTGGGATTTTGTACATATGTAGGTTAATTAAATCCGGGTACCGGGACATATGTAGTATGCAAGTGGGTTGTTCGGATGGGTTGGTTTGACAACGCCCGAGGGAAGAGAGCGAGAGGGGTTTCTCGTGTTTGAATAAGTAGCTCTCTTTCTGTCTTACATTTCTTGTCTGACGGTTTCGTTGTTTGGGTTTGGAAAGAGACTTGGATTTAGTCGCGGTTGCCATATATAGTTGGGTGTTTTTGCTCAATCTCTCTTCTTGGTTTTCGGTGTTCCGACTGTTACGACTACGAGGATGGTGGCAACGAAGATACTTTCACGCGCTAGGGAGTGGGATTTCGATATTGATCGGTATCTTAATCGTGTTGTTGCTCCGTCACCGTTACATAGGCTTCCGGCGCCGATATCGAGGTTTCTGGGTTATAGGGAGGAGACGCGGCAGGATGTTGGGAATGTGCTTGGGGCGTTTTGGTCGTTGGTCGGCGCGTTCTGTGGTTTGGCAGTTGTGGCTGGTGTGTTTAACAATACTGGGAGTATACAGTGGCATCATCCGCCTGCGTTGATTGCTTCTTTTGTGAGTACTCTGATACCGACGTGAGGGTAGTGGCAGCCACTGATGTACGGTATACAGGGCGCCTCTGCTGTTCTGGAATACAACTCCATCCGCTCACCTCTTGGTCAACCACGCAACGCCATACTTGGTCATGCATTCTCAGCATTTATCGGTGTTAGCGTATCGAAGCTTTTCCAGTATCATTCGGATTACGACTCCATCAAATGGATTGCTGGCGCTACGGCTTGCGGTTGCGCATCGGCCGTGATGCTTTTGACCAACACTGTACACCCACCTGGCGGTGCATCCGCTGTGCTGGCAGCCACTGATCCCATCATCACAACCATGGGCTATTACTTTGTCAGCCTGGTCCTGTGGGGTACTACCTTGATGGTGATTGTTGGACTGATCATAAACAACATTCAGCGACAATTCCCGGTCTACTGGTGGACGCCATTGGATGTGCGAAAAGCGAAAGTCGAAGATGAGGAAGTAGTTCCAGATGCAAAAGGCGGGATAGAACGAAAGAAAACCATTGAAGAGCAACATTATGATCAAGATGGCGACCGTATAGAGATCAACGGCGCCGAAGTCATATTGCCAGATGACATGAGCTTGAACGCGGAGGAGACTGCAGTACTAGAAAGGCTGCGAGAGCGGCTGAGAAAGAGAGCCGATTTAGAAAGAGGAGGACAAATATCCGAAAAGGAAGACACAGATAGCGGAATGTGTAGTACTCGTGTGCCGAGCTGCAGCGAGACCAGGAGCAGTTGTTCTGGTATATAGTGTTTGGGCTTATCATGGCGTGGAGCACAGTATAGATAAGAACAAACGGGATTTCCGCGTTTCCGTGGAGCGTCCCCCCACAAAGCTGAACAATCCTAAATTTGGAGTCTTTGTGATGTTTCGTTTTTCCGTGATTTAGTTCAAATTCTTATCAGGTATGTGTTCTTCTACTTTTTCTGTGCCTGACATCATACTGCTGGCCGACACAATTTTTTCATCATGCCAGCCACTTTTCTGAACAGATTGAAGAGGGGCAGACCAATCCTGTATCACAATTCACAAGCACGCAGAAGAGTTCTTGAACTCTCAAGGCAGCTCCGTGCTACGAGTCTCACGAACACGCCTATCATGATGTCTCTTGATGTGCATGGGTGAGTCTGACCTGGCACATGCAGCGATGCCAGCGCCTTAGTTGCCCTATGATGCGTAGTGGGGGAGCGTTCATTGGCCGTGCGCAGCCTTCGCCACAAGTAAGAAAATTGATTCGCAAGGCTTTGTTGTTTGAGCCACCGCTGTCGATTGTCATCTTTTGATCTCTTCACATCCCTCACTTGCACTCACTCCCTTTCTTCTACACCGCATTTTCCGTCTCTTCCAGTCCCTTCATTTCCAGCAGAGACGCATTGTGCCTTGACCGGAAACCCAAACGATCAATCAGGCTTGGGCATTATCGATAAGAGGCTTAGCGGGGCACAAGATTGGCCCTGATCCCAACCCTACGAAATTTCCTTCTCTTCACCTCCACCATCTCCGAGTCCCTTCCCTTGACGCCATATTAAGACATCATGGTCTCTGCGTCCAAAGCTGCCCGTCAGGCAAAGCGCGCCGCCGAGGGCGACGCCAAGCCCAAGAAGTCGGCCACTTCCAAGTTGTCGTCCAAGGCCAACTCCAAGAATGCCTCCAAGGCCAACTCTGAGAATGGCGACAACCCCGAGGACCTTGAGCTGAACGAGGAAGTCCAGAAGCTCACCCTCCAACAAGATAAGCATGGTCTGTCTGACCGTGTAACCACTGGTGTGCTTGCCTCGCTCGAGCAGTCGCGCGATGTCAAGATTATCTCTGCGTCGCTCGTGTTCCACGGCAAGGTACTTTTCAACGACTCCACCATCGAGATCAACTACGGTCGCCGATACGGTCTGTTGGGTGAGAACGGTTGCGGAAAGACGACGCTGCTCAAGGCCATCGACAAGCGCGAGTTCCCCTTCCCAGAGCACATCGACATTTACCTGCTGAACCAGGGTGCCCCCAAGACTGAGTTGGGTGCCTTGGACTGGGTCGTCCGTGAGGCCGAGACTGAGCTGGCTCGTCTCGAGAAGATGGCTGAGGACATTCTTGAGAAGGACGGCCCTGAGAGCCCTCTCCTCGAGGATATCTACGAGGTGCGTTGCAGTCGGATAGTCATGTTTTGACCCCCACTAACTAGTCAACAGCGTCAAGAAGACATGGACCCATCCACCTTCCACACTCGCGCTTCCCTCATTCTTACTGGTCTTGGTTTCAACAAGGTCACCATCAACAAGAAGACAAAGGACATGTCCGGTGGTTGGCGTATGCGTGTTGCGCTTGCCAAGGCTCTTTTCGTCAAGCCTGCTCTGCTCTTGCTCGACGACCCCACTGCCCATTTGGATCTCGAGGCCTGTGTGTGGCTTGAGGAATACATGAAGAAGTGGGAGCGCACCCTGGTTCTCGTTTCCCACTCCATGGATTTCTTGAACGGTGTCTGCACAAATATGATTGATATGCGTCAAAAGAAACTCCTCTACTACGGAGGTAACTACGACGCTTACCACAAGACCCGTTCCGAGCAGGAGGTCAACCAGACCAAGGCCTACGAGAAGCAGCAAGACGAAATCAAGCACATCAAGAAGTTCATTGCTTCAGCTGGTACCTACGCCAACTTGGTCAGGCAAGCCAAGTCTCGCCAGAAGATCCTGGACAAGATGGAGGCCGACGGTCTCATCGAACCCGTTGCTGTTGACAAGGTCTTCACTTTCCGCTTCGCCGACGTTGAGAAGCTACCGCCGCCCGTGCTTTCGCTTGACAATGTCACCTTCTCCTACTCTGGAGATCCAAAAGACAACCTGTACGAGAACCTCGACTTCGGTGTCGACATGGACTCGCGAACAGCCCTTGTCGGACCCAACGGTGTTGGAAAGTCAACGCTGCTCAACATATTCACCGGAAAGCTCAGCCCTACATCTGGTGTTGTATCGCGCCATACTCACTTGAAGCTCGGTGTTTACAGCCAGCACTCTGCTGAACAGCTCGACCTTACCAAGTCTGCCCTTGACTTTGTCCGCGACAAGTTCCACCACATCAGCCAGGATGTCCAGTACTGGCGTCAACAGCTCGGCCGCTACGGTATGACTGGTGAGGCACAGACGTCCAAGATGGCTACTCTGTCCGATGGTCAAAAGTCTCGTATCGTCTTCGCTCTGCTCGCTATCGAGGGCCCCAACATGTTGCTTCTTGACGAACCTACCAACGGTCTGGATATCCCCACTATTGACAGTTTGGCTGACGCCATCAACGCCTTCAGCGGTGGTGTCGTTGTTGTTTCTCACGACTTCAGGTATGCTCATTCTCCCAGAGAAATATTTGCACTCTGTGCTAACCTCCAAACAGATTGCTCGACAAGATTGCCAAGGATATCATGGTTTGCGAACACAAGACTGTCCGTCGGTGGGATGGTACCATTGGCGAGTACAAGGATCACCTCCGCAAGAAGATGGCTTCAACTGGTGCTCTCTAAATGGATAATTCGGAATGGGTTTAGAAAATGCATACGTCCTTTGAGCAGCGGGGCGCGGGTACATAGCTAAAAGTAATGGCCTTAGAGCAGGTTTGAGATACCTCTGCAGTAGGCCGGCAGCTCATCGCTACCTGCGTCAGTGTCTCTGCACGAACAGAGACATCTGGATTATGCGTTATGATGCATTGGGTTTTAGAGGAGTTTTAGAGTTGCCTTGCAATGAAATTATATCGCATAGAGGTCTCGGTAAACTTTGTGACATTTGCAGCTCGTATTAAAGAGGTAGTAGTAGGTTGCTAACATGACGTGAGTGTAACTCGGAATACAACGGACATAACATGAGAGCATGGACAAGTGGCAGTGGGTCTGCACGTGCCGGTCTGTGAGCTATGGGCTGTGACGAGCATCCCCGCAAGATAACCTCCGCGGTGGAGCTTGAACACGGACATCCTCATGTTAACCACTCGCTGTTAACCTTAGTTCAGCCATTTCCCACCGAACTCGAAGAGCCCTAGGCCCTCCAGGGTATCTCACCACGTTCATTGTTTACTCATACCAGCCAATAGCCCGCCATGGCAGAGCTCACGAGCACGAAACTCAATGCCGAGTCGCATCTCCTGCTCGTATGTCCAGTCTGCTTACACCCAAGACAGCACTCACTAATTGACAATCCCAGGACCAACCTCTCCTCCGCATGCCATACGAGCTTTCCCGGCGCAACTTCAAAAATGCTCAGCGCGTCATTGAGCACTCCTCGACCGCCCTGCCCACCGCCCTCGGCGCAACCGCAAAAGCCGCAAACAAAAACGCCTCACCAGAAGCTACCCTCTCCTCGCTCGACTCGCTCATTACCAAAATGCAAGGTCTAAAACGCAAACTCGAGGGCCTCCACGAAGAAGAAAACCGTCTCCATCGCGCCGCCAAAGCGCGCCTGCAACACCTACAGGACCTATATCAAGTCCAGAGTCTCGTCGACGTTAAATACGACGAGTGGTCGCGCACACGACTTAGCAGGCTACTCGTAGACTATCTACTCCGCGAGGGATATGCAGAAAGCGCTGCATGCCTGGCGCAAAGCAAGGGGATCGAAGATCTAGTCGATGTAGAAGCATTCATAGCGTGTCATAAGATTGAACGGAGTCTCCGCGAGGGGATGAGTACGGCGCTAGCGCTTGAGTGGTGCAAGGAACATGGCAAGGAGCTCAAGAAGGGGGGAAGCATGTTGGAGTTTGAGTTGAGGCTGCAGCAGTATATTGAGCTTGTGAGACAGGGGCATGAGGCGGGGTTGAGTGGGATGGATGGATTGGAGGGGGAGGAGGGGGGCATGCACGGGGTTAGCATTGGAGGTCCCAGTGGTGGAGGTGGAGGAGAAGCAAAGTTGGTGGAGGCCAGGGCGCATGCGAAGAAGTATCTTAGTGCGAGTGGGGATTTCACATTGATGAGGCAGGCGGCGGGTATGTTGGCGTACAGGCCATGGGATGAGGTGGAGCCGTATGCTGTAAGTTTCTCTTATTCCCCCACAAGAGAGAAAGAATCAACGCAACTAACGTTTTATTAACTCTAGTCTCTCTACTCTCCCTCCCGCTGGTCCTACCTCGCAGACCTCTTCGTCTCAACCCATCACACCTTGTACTCGCTCCCACCCCGCCCCCTCCTCCACATCGCCCTCAGCGCGGGTCTTTCCGCCCTAAAGACACCAGCCTGCCACTCCGAATACATTCCCTCGGCCACAAACGCCGCGTCCTCGGCCACAACCGTCTGCCCGATTTGTAGTGCTGAGCTCAAAGAACTAGCGCGTAACGTGCCGTATGCGTTACATACCAAGAGTATCGTTGAAGATGCACCAGTTGTACTGCCCAATGGTCGTATTTACGGCTCTGAGAGACTGCGTATTTTCAATGAGAAGGTGGGGACGGAGCCGGGGTGGGTTAGGGATCCTGTGGCTGGCTTGACGGGGGAGAAGTGGAAGGAGAGTGAGGTGCGGAAGGTGTATATTATGTGATTCTTGCTTTTTTTTCGTGTCTTTTCTTTCCATGGAGCAGGAGGTTGGGTCTTTTTGCTACGAGGGTTTATATGCGCATAGCGGGGCGTTTTCTTTTTTTTTTCGGTTTATCGTGGCAGGATGCCCCGGCGTGGGTTTTAGTCCTGCTTGTATTGGTGGTACGGTCTTTTTCCAAGTCTTGAAAGACGGGTATATCTTTTTTTGAATGAGATTCATAGCCTCAATCCTCCTCCTCTTCTTCTTCTTTTTCTTCTTCCTCATCATCGTCATCATCCTTCTCCTCATCCCCCTGCAAAGCCGCCTTCATCGCCTCCTTCTGACTCGGCAACCTTCCACCCCTCGCCACCTTCGCCAACCTGTCCATTTCCTTCTCCTCATCGCTATCAGCCACAAGCGGAATCTTCTCAAACACATACATTCTCGCCTCGCGATCCTCGCCTTTCCACCCGCCACCCCCCTCGAGCGCCCCCAGCGTGCGAACGTGATGGTAACCTGGATACTGCTCCCAGTCGAACTTCCAGCTCTCGACGACGCGCAGACCAACGTGCCGGGCTAAGTCGCGGATATTCCATAGAGTGTAGGGTTCGCCTTCGAAAAGCGTAACTATTATCCTACCGCCCATGCGAAGAAAAGGTCTCACATTCTGCTGCTGTTTCTTCTTGTCATGCTCTTGGGAATCTTGTTTCGCCTGGTGGTCCCTCTTCCTCTTCCTACTCTTGTCCTCCTGTTCCCTCTTCTGTGTCTGCAAAATGTGTAATCTCCGCTTCGCATCTTTGGTGTCGATGCACGACTTGAAAAATTCAACCAGCAATGCTTGGTTTGCGCGGACCTGGCGGTTCACATCTGTAGAGAGACCGCCCGTGTGTGGGAACATGAAGGCGATGGCGTCCCAGCCTTGCTCGTCGTCGTCGTCGTCGCGCTTGCAGCGGAGGTGCTTGTAGCTTGATAGTTTTGTGGCGTCGATGGAGTGGAAGAGTGGGACGGGGGGTGTGAGGGAGGAGAGCTCGGCGGAGATGGGACCAAAGGTTGGGTATTTGCTTTCGACGTCTTCGCGCGAGTCGTAGCTTGTGGCTGTGACGTTTGCGCAGCCGTGCTCGATGGCGAGGGAGCGGGTGAAGCTGAAGTCGCCCTCGCCGACGAGGAGGATGTGGTCGTATTCGCCAAAGGGGATGGCGTGTTTTCGTTGCGACGGTTGGACATGAGCGGGCTTTGTCGCTGGGGGTGCGTCTTTTGCGGCGGTCGAGTTCATCTTTTGCTTCTTCTTTGCAGGTGGTTTTGTCGCTGCTTGTTTTGTTTCTGCGGCTTTTGCTGCTGCCTTGCGGTGGTGTGCTGCTATTTTTCTCTCACCCTCGCGCTTCAATTCACGGCGCGCGCGCTTCGTTTTTGTCTTGGACATGTCGGCTGTATTCGAAGTTGTCTTCTGTACTTCTGCAATTGGACGCAGCTCGGAGGTTTGCGGGGAACTTTTGGAAAATTATGAGCTTGGACCATCACCTACCAAGGCTTCGAATGTGCATGTGAAAAGAGGGACGGAAGCATTTTGTGGAATCAATATTTTAATCCATAAAGCTCTGAGAATATGATGCAAACATCTGCACCACCAGATTACACATCTAGATGCCAGATGACTTCAATTGCTTCAAGCTACAATGTACAATAGACCTCCATGCAGCTACCACAAATCGTAAGCCTGCATACCTCGAGAGTTTAATGAAACATTACAAATTTCCCCCTATATCAAGTCGCGCTTGACGAACTGGTCGTACAGAGTAGATCCAAGTTTGGCAGGGGAGCGCTCGACAGTGACACCGGCGGCCTCGAGCGCGGTGATCTTGGAGTTGGCATCACCCTTACCACCGCTGACAATGGCACCAGCGTGACCCATTCTCCTGCCTGGAGGGGCGGAGATACCAGCAATGAAGCTAACGACAGGCTTGTTGGCGGTGTTGTACTCCTTCAAGAAGTCGGCAGCGTCTTCCTCGGCCGAACCACCAATCTCACCAATCATGATGATACCGTCAGTCTCTTCATCCTTGAGGAAGACGTTCAGGCAGTCAATGAAGTTGGTACCGGAGAAGGGGTCACCACCAATACCAACAACGAGGGACTGACCAAGGCCGGCTTGGGTAGTCTGGTTGACGGCTTCGTAGGTAAGAGTTCCGGAGCGAGAGACGATACCAACGCGACCGCGCTTGTGGATGAATCCAGGCATAATACCAATCTTGCATTGGCCCTGGTAAAGTCAGAAGGCTATCCAGGTACGCATATGGGCGGGGGACATACAGGAGCAATGATACCGGGGCAGTTGGGGCCAACCATACGAGACTTGCTCTGGGACTTGAGCATATCTGTGATGCGCACCATGTCTACTTCGGTTAGTCACTCAAATCTTCCCGAGAGACTGAGCCATGCGTACCGTGTTGGGGAATCCCCTCAGTGATACTGTCCATTGTAAGTTTCCATGTACCTAAGTTGCCATTTGTATACCTACGTCACAATCAGAGGGACTTCGGCGGCGATAGCCTCTTCGATACTCGCGGCAGCGACCGGTGGGCTGCAGTGTGGTTAGGTTTCAAAGGCGACACGAGTTGTAGCCGGGTGAAGCGTACGGAACGAAGATGGCAGTAGCGGTAGCTTGAGTCTCCTTCATAGCATCTGCCACATTCTTGAAGACGGGCAGTCCAAGGTGCTGGGTGCCGGCCTTCTTGGGGTTTGTTCCTCCAACAACCTTTGTGCCTAACAAAGTGTCAGACCTGTCCCCCGCAATATCAAAATGGCCTTTTGGCTAGTCGCATACCGTATTCAATTGCCTGCTGTGCGTGGAAGCTACCCGCTTGTTAGTGTTACCCTCTACTTCAGCTTCTTCTGTTCCCACTCACGTTCCCTGCTTTCCAGTGAAACCCTGGAAGAGAACCTTTGTGTCGCTGTTGATGCGAAGGTTCTTAATCGTCTCGGCGTACTGCGAGGAAGCGGTCGCATACTGCCTGGTTGCGGCCTTTGATAGCGCAGAGCGCAGGGGTTGTCGGATAGACTGCATCGTGACTGATGAGTGGCCACGAGAGCAAATCTGGGGTAGTGAGAGGGTATCGCGGGTTTGATTTGGTGGTGGTTGACAGTCTGGGAGAAGCTGCGACACGCCGGGGGTTCTTCGGTAGAGGAGCTTGGCCAACCCTAAAATCTCGTGCCAGGGCCCGTCCGCGCCCGACAACATCACGAAAATAACTCGTTTGTCTACGGCCGCACAGCTGCACCGGCTGGATGCACCCACTGTCCGATTGCCAATGTGCCGAGGTCTTCAGTTTCTACAATAATTGTCTGTATTTTTTTTGGCTTTATCCAAACTCAATAGTACATTCCATCAACGACATGCCAATCGTCCACGAACTGCGCTGTAACGCTTTAGGTATCACATCTCAAGTTGTTCAGAATCCGTGCGCGATGGCCAGATCAACGTTCTCTTGCAATCAGCTTTTCAAATTGGCTAGGAAGAAAGAATCGTGATAGACTAGTCAGTTTTCGAATGCCCAGTATGCAGGAGACTGGAACGGAAGCCTGTCCTATCACAGTAGCCAAGAGGATTGCGCAGTGAATATGGTGTGGCAGCCAGCATGGCTGTATTTTACATTTACTACATGTCTTGTACACGGGCGGGAACAGAAGTGCATCTAGTCGTTAAGTTTTCCGTAGAATGGAATACCAATGGCTTGAAGAAGGAGACGGGCATCCTTGTTGCTGGTGGCATCGGTCTGGATGGTGATATGGCAACCGGGAATCATCTTGGGAGGATAACTAGGTCGTGTTAGTACAAAACAAATCGGCAAGGCAGGCGCAGCAGAAGACTCACGCGTCATAGTTGACCTCGATCTCGGGAAAGAGGGCAACTTGGTCCGGGGTAAGACCAAAGCTCATATTGCCGTGCCCGTCACCAGATGAGCCGGGCACGCCCTTCCATTCCTTGATCCTCGGCAGCACCACGTCGATCAGCTTGGCCAAAAAGTTGTCGGCGTCTTCGCGCTCCATGGTAGAGGTGACGGCGACATATCTGCCCTTGCGCAGTCCCCAGCCGACTACGTTATGCCTTGCCTTGTGCGACACTGCTCGCACGTTGCTAATGGCCTGCAGCACCATGCCGGCAACGTGCAAATTTCCGCTGTTCTCTTGGGCTTCTGGGACCATGGAGTGTACGACAACCTTTGTGATTTTGGGCACATTGCGGAAAGTGCGGGGTTCTTGGAGCAGGCGGAGGACTTCACCCTTGCCTCGTGGGGGCCGCAGTGGGCGGTTCTTGAAGTAGGGCGAGTCGCCAGTCCATTCGCGCAGCCGTTGCTCGGTCTTGGGGGCCCGGTAGCCTGGGGGATAGTGCTGGTATGTGAGGGTGAGCAGGTCTGAGGCGATTTTGCTCTGGTACGTTTGTTCGAGGCGTGACAGACTAAAGGGCCCCGGCTGGAAGAGTCGCGATGCGGGATCGGACTCTGGCGGGGGCTGGTGAGGGTGGAGGGGACCGCGATAGTACTTGGGCGAGCGATATTGGTACCTGTGACGGGTGAGGAGGGATTCCGTGGTCATGCGGCGGGGACACGGTACCTGCTGGGCGGCAGCTGCCTGTTCCCCCTTCTCCGCAGCCGACTCCTCGCTACCGGGTCGAAGTCCTGGGCCAGTTCTGCTGGCGGTGGTGGCGTCTGGAGGGAGGATGCGTCCTCGATTTCTGCGAGTGCCTGGGACGAGGCATTGCGGCCAGGGGCGGGGAGGGCAGCGCGGACAGCCGGCCTGGCGGAGCTGGCCAGGGCCACGGCGGTGCGCAGCGGGAGGGCACGCATGGCCATGGCGACGTCGGGCGAAGGTGTGGTGGGTGATGGTCGTCGGTGATAGCAATGGCACGGCCCATGCCAGGTCCGCAGCGCACTTTTCCTGGCCATGCGCTATACGCTATACGCTAGACGACGAAGGCTGCAGGGATCGCCTACACAATCGTACCGCCAGCCAGCCAGGGCCCCGCTCTGGCAGCCAATAGGGCGGCCCTACCTACAAGCACCTGGCTACGACAACGGCCACCAGCTGCTGCGCGGCTGACGGTTGCTGGTACACTCGACCATGTCTTGTGCTTCCTGGGCTTGTTGTGCTTCTTCCTGCGCCCCCTCGCATCTGGCTGCTTCGTCGTCGCCTGCGTCGCGCGGCACGGCGTCATCTCGTTCCTTGGCTGCGCCTCGTCTCTGCCTTCCTCCGACATCAAGCCCGCCTGCCCGCCTGCCCGCCCCGCGACTTACCCACCACCCTGTCAACCTCCGCATTCACCACCACCACCACCACCACCACCACACACCCTTCTTCTGCATGCATTCCCCCATTGCCTACCACCTCCGCCATCATGAACGGCGTCTCGCGATTCCTCAGCCGGCGTGACAAGCACGGCGACAAGCGTGCCTCTAAACACGCCAAATCAAAAGTATGCCCGTCCTCTTTCGCTTCTACCTACTCGCTCGACTCCCCCGCCCCTGCGCCATGCTGCTCCGTCCGTCTGCCGTCGCCTCCCCGGACGAGCCGCCGGCGGCGACTATCGGCTGGTGTTCAGACACTGTATCATAAGCTTCCATTTGTATTGCCGCATTCTCTAGGCGACACCCTTCTCCTTCTGCACACTGCAGCGCCAGGCCGCCCTCTTCCCGCGCCCTTGACCATTCAAGACCCTCTTGCCCGCTCTTCTGACCATATGTCTCTCCAGTCTCAATCCCCGGATACTCCGCTCGATCTCTACAAAATATTCACCAGCGAAGGGCCCAGGCCACCCGCAAACGAGCATGCCGAGAAAAAGGTACGTCAAGAGACACGACTGCATGCACTCCCATTGACCATGTACAGGCCAAGATGCTGCTTACCCGACTCCACGGCTCGGGCATAACAAAAATGGCAGAGGAACACGCCGAACACGCCCTCGCCTGGTACCCGGACGACCTCGACAAGGCCTACGACCTCTTGGTCCTTGCCAACGAATCGCTCGAGGGCGAACTGAAGGACTACAACCCCAATGTTCCCATGCTGGGCGCTATCAATCGGAATATGGTGACATGCTATCTAGATGCGCTCCTCTTTGCCATGTTTGCGCGCCTTGATAGCTTTGAAGCCATGTTGTACGACAATTTCGAGGATGAGCCCCGGAAGAAACTGGCCGCCGTCTTGAGACTATGGGTGAACCTGTTGCGCACAGGCCAGCTCATCAGAGTCGACCTGGTATGGTCTATCCGCACCACAGTCACTTTCGTAACTAATGACTATCACAGACCAAGCATCTTCAGGACTCACTCGCACGGTGTGGCTGGGAAGATGCGGCGCAAGTGCGGCAGCAGGACGCATCCGAAGCTTTTACGTTTATCACAGGCGCGCTTGAACTGCCACTTCTTACCTTAAAGATGGACATTTATCATACTGGACGCGAAGATAAAGAAGATGACCACAAGTTTGTAAACGAACGACTCCTGGAAGTTGCTATCCCAGAACCAGAAGAGGGTCGCATCATTACGCTCGAGGACTGCTTAGAAACCTATTTTAACAACAGAATCGAGGTGAAGCGCTACCTGCAGCGGCAAAACACAATCGCCTCGATTAGATCAACCAGGGATGAATTCCCAGGCAAGGACGCTGAGAAAAATGAGTCGATACATATCGAAACTGCAGAAGTGGACACGCCAATGACTCCAATCGTCTCATCTCCTATATCGCTGGAGCCTACAACCACTTTGGCCCCAGTTCGACCTGAGCTAGAAGGCCGTCGCCGTGCTGATAGCATCTTCGGTAAGCGCTACTTGCGCCAGCCTCCTGAAGCCCAAGCGTTCGACGAGAAGAAGCATGTCGAGGATATGCTAGACAACAGCTCTGGCGGTCGACCCCGCTCAGCTTCTCTACTTAAGAAGGAGATTCTCATGCCAGCATGGCAGTTTTTCAGTCTAATCCGTAAGTCGAATTTCCCGCCAATATCTGTAATGCTAACAATTTTGGTAGCATGGTACACGGACAACGTGCCAAGGTCAGATGCGCAGGTTGCAGCACATTTCTCTGCAAAACGCCCTGTTCTTGGAATATGTCTGAAGCGATACACCATGAACCAAAATGGCACTCCGAAGCGGCTCAATACCTACATCGACATTCCACTTGACATTGGCTTGCCCCATTTCATTTCTGACGAAAGAATGAAAGAAGAGGGTCCATTATTTGGTAACTTCAAGCTAGTGCTACAGTCGGTCGTCTGTCATCGAGGTGTATCGGTGGATTCTGGTCATTACATTGCACTTGTTCGTGCCAATGCTCGTGGGAGGCCCGGAACTGCCAATTCCGAGTCTGACGAAGAAGAAGCGAAATGGTTACGGTTTGACGATCTTTCGAATCAACGAGTCACTGAGGTCGACATCGAGCAAGCTCTGCGTGAAGAGTCACCGTATCTTTTGTTCTACCAAGTACAGCCTATTGATGAAGAACTGGCTTCTAGAGGTGATCCCCCAACCTACACAGAGGCTCAGTCCAGAATCCCGTCTGTAGATCCGTCCCGTGAAACGCTGGCCTCCCTGCCCTCTACCACCGCAACAGACGTCGATACCACTGGCGACTGGGAAAAGATTAGCGTGCCTGATGTGCATACTGAACCAACTCGCACGGACGAGCCAGCCAGTCGGAACAGCACTTCCAGTAATTGGCGGAGCAGCATAACCATTGACGACGGCGAAGGGAGCCTTCGCGGACGAACCCAACCGACAACCCCAGCCGAAGAGAAGAACGGCTTTCTGTCTGTGTCCCGGCGCGGCTCACGCATATGGATGTCTGGCGCTGGTAAAAGTCGGCCGGGCAGTCCAAGTGGCGAGAATCGATTGTCCATTACTCTGTCGCGGCTGACAGGCCGAGGTGGCAACCACAAGCTGATCACGACAGAGGGTATCAGTGCTGGCGATGAACCTATTGTTGTGATTGACAAGACCATAAGCCCTGAGGGCAGCCAAAAATCACCGTCTCCGGTCAAGGAGAAGAAAGAGTCTGGAATTTCACGGAGCAAGAGCAAGAAGGAGAAGAAGGATAGGATGAGGAGTAAGAGTAGAGAGCCTGGTGCCGTCCTGGATAAAGGTAAGTCAAAGGGAAAAACCCGGCCGGATCGCGAATGCATTGTTATGTGATTGCTACAAGGTCTGGTTATTGATTGGGCATTGGTTGCATTGGGACAGGGGTGACTGTGAGGTTAACACCGGAGTTTTTGATATCTTAGCGTGGCGTTTTCGGGAACAACCATGGATTCATGTGGATTGGGTACCAAGGGTGTCAAATAGGCGTCGGTTTGCATACACATCCACAGAACTATCATAGATAAGATACCCGGAATTCAAGTAGAGCCAGAGGGCTGGCAGTCTGCCAGACCTCGACAATTTTTTTTTGCTGCATCAGTGGAACCTGCTGTACCGAGGGAAACTATCGCTATACTGTTGTGAACTAGGGATGTGTTCTGAGAAGACGTTGGATGAGCCTAGAAGGGTGAAGTCCTATTTGAGGAAAACTCGCCGCCGGCAACCTGGCCTCTTGGCTGGGGTCGCGCTAGGGTTATCCTCGCCCACCACAAAAGTCGCCCGCTCATCCCTTCGGCTTCTCTCCCACGTTTCGCGCCACAACACCTCTCCTCTCCTCCAGGACTCTTTATAATCCTCTGCCGAAGCGCTCCTTACCTATCCGCCTCGATCCATCCACCCCGACTCTCACAATGGCTATTAACCCACAAGTGTATGCATCCCCGGCCTCCGAGGCTGTTAAAGACAGTTTGCTAATCCTCGCCGCAGTTCCAACCTGGTCATCATCCTGTATGCTCCGCTCTAGCCTTTTTGCACACGCAGCAGACCAAAAATCTAACATGTATGCAGTGGATTTATGCAAATCTCAAAAAGGATTCCCTTTGATGACCCCAACGTACTCAACGGCGTGCGCGCACTCTACATCGTCTCCAACCTGATCATCGCGGGTATCTACCTATACGTCCAGACGCAGATCAACAAAAAGAATGGTGCGTCGCCCCACCGTCGCGAATACTTTGGACAAAGACGAAGCAGGCTAACACATGCGACACAGACATGACGGTTGTCAAATACGTCGAGCCTGCGCCAATGGGATCCGGCGAGGAACCCAAATTCGTCGCTACAACTGTCAAGGCGTACGATCTCGGCAAGCTGCGCGAGCTCTTCAAGGCCCAGGCCATGGGTGTCGGCATGATGTGCGTTATGCACCTTTACTTCAAATACACCAACCCGCTCCTCATCCAGTCCATCATCCCCCTCAAGGGCGCGTTCGAGGGAAACCTCGTCAAGATTCATTTGTTTGGTCAGCCGGCAACTGGTGACCTGGCGAGGCCATGGAAGGCTGCTGGTGGCATGATGGGCATGGGTGCTGGTGAGATTAAGACGGATAAGAAGAGCATCGAGGCTGCTGAGCGCGCTGGACGCGGTGGTGTCAAGGATGAGTAGGTTGGTTGCATGAATTTCGTAGTGCTATGTGGTGTCTAGATTATTTAGAAGTCGCTACTGGCATCTCGGACTGCAAATTTCGGAATCCCCCGGATAGGAGCTACTGTTACTTTGTACAACACTCATGAAATTTTTCAGCCTACTGCTTGTTCTTTTTGATCGCCTTTTAACTCTGCGTGTCCTGGATGTTATTGCGGGGTGAATTGACAAAAAGAAAGGAAAGGAAAAGAGATAGTCGTTGTTAGTCAGCAGTGGTTTGTCCCGTGTCAGTGGTTCACTCTGAACTCTAAGCACAAGACCAAGAGGAAAGTTTATACCTTGAAACGAATTGACTTTCGTCCACCAGACTAAGAAGTGTCATCCTCCAACACTCACCCTACATATCAAACTAAGAAAAAAAAAACTTCCTCGTAACCACACTACCTTATCTACCACCCATCTAGATTGCTGCCTGCGTAAACCCCCCTTACCACCTAACCCTTTGCCGTCGGCTCATTATAATCTATATAGAATATACACCGGACATTATCCCACCAGCTTCCCTGTGCGCCACCAAACAAAACGCTCCGCTTTCCCAACTCACAACCTAGTTTTATTTAACGTGTCCCAAAAATCTTAACTAGTCTTTACTTGCACGGAAGAACAACACAAATTGATTTTTCAGGAACTTGGGATCTGGATTAAAGCTGTAATATGCAGATGTTGGTGTGAAAATACGGGTTATGTAGGTTCACGGTGTTTAAAGCACGCAGTGTATAAAGAGCATCAAAGTAGCGTGTGGTGTTTTACATTGGGAGGGGGGTTGCAAGTGCCAAGTTAAGGAAAGTGTTACGTAGTGGCTGGTTTAAATGATTGATGGTAGATGCGTATATTCTAAAATTCTAATTCGTCTATGAGAATGGTAGAGGTATTTGTTTGCAACAACAAAGCATATACACGTCAAGTCCAAATAAGGAGTTGTCTGCAGACATCTCAAAGTTCGGTTGAATGTTCAACCCACTTGCAGCCGAGCCTGCTGCAATTAACGCCATCTTACTGCGAAAAGGTACAGTACGGTTCTTCCTCCAAAGCATATGTAGTGCTTTTTGGCAACACTGAAAGTGTTACAAGTCTTTTTGACGTTCTTTCGTCGATGATGGCCCAGATCCTACTATGGTCGACCTTATTTTTTTTTTTTTGGCTAGCCTTGAACATGGCCTTGGAACCGGAGAGTAGGTATCAGGTGTTCTGATCTCGTATTCCACCCCCACTTTTTGCTTTCTTCCCACTAATATAGCGACGTGTCCATGGCTATTTGGGCAGATTCTGTAGCGCGAACTTGTGGGAAAGCGTATAATAGGACGACCGACCAGCTGGGACGGTATTCCAACTCGCTCTACTGATTAGCGTGAAATTCTCGAAAAGACTATTGCCAATCGGAGCTAAGCGGAGATTTAATCTGGAATACGAGCTGCCAATCTCATGATGCTTGCTCTTGCATACGGTCGTAAAGGCAGAAAAAAAAGGTAGTATGTCACTCGCTAACGTAGTTCAAACACCCGCTGTCCATTGGGAAAAATAGCCATCTTGCATTGGCATTGCAACAGGCTCGTTCTCATAGTTGAAGGGGTCACCCCAGAAACCCTGATTTTGGTCAGTAACTATGCCCTGTTCTCCCGGATTACACTGTAAGACTTACAAAATCGAATTCAGGGATTACGTTGGTAGTTGGTTGCATATCTCCAACGATGTTGTTAATGTTGTTAATATTGATATCGTCCCAGACTGGTGCGCGATTTTGGAAATTTGATGTCGAATCCATCATGTCAGGTTGAGGTTGTACTGGTGGCGGTTGGGGGAGCGGCTGAGATTGCGGTAGTAGTGTTGGTTGATTGAACGTCATGGAACTGGGTTGATAAGCATAAGCAGGTATTTCTGCTATTGGTTGGTATGGGCCTGTGTTGCTATTTGGCATAGTACCCAGTGGAAGCGTAGGCGTAGATGTAGGCGTAGACGTCGACGTGGATGTAGATGTAGAAACGGGCATAGTCGCAGACGCAGGTGTAGGCTGGCTCATGTACGGATTCAAGGGTTGAGTTTGGGACCTAGGTGAAAGGGTGTGCTCAGCCACGGCCTTGTCAATCATGTTCTTGACAGCCTGCCATGCCTTGGCGTTGTTGTTTGCTCGAAGAATGCGCGACATTTGCAACGCTCGTAAGGCTCGTTGCCGGTCTGGTGCATCGAAAAGGGGGTTGCGTAGCTCAGATAAAATGTGCATGATGGCTTGGAACGAAGCAATGGCGCCTTGATTTGTTAGCCTTGAAAATACGAGAAGTGAGTCGTTATACCAATGTGCCACTGGAAGCGAGCGGCGTCAACATCCGCAGCTGCTCCATTGATTGTCTCTACACAGTTGACAGATTTTTCAAATATCCTAAATCGTTAGTCTCTACTAGCTCTAACCAAGACATTCAACTGGAGATACGTACGATCTGCGAATGGCATCGGGAAAGACGTCATCACGGTACGCACGCGGCATACGGAGCCAGAAAAACAAGTAAGCGCGCCATTCGAGTAGCGAAGCCAGTCCCAAGGTCAATCGTTCCATTGGTATTTCCGGGTTGAGGAATTGCAAGTACTTCCGATGAGTCTCTTCGTGTACTTCATCGAGCATGACTTTGATTTGATCATAAAGATCCCGCAACTCTTGTGCAGGGTCTGGCCGAGAGGTTCCGTGAAGGCCAGAATCTAGCATTCGCCGCTCTAAACGATAAGTGCTTTGGACTATGCGCCTCAGCGCTCGCATTCCGTTGAATCGGACCAGCTGAAACGTCATCGATGTGAACTTTTGCTCGTTGTATGGAGCTTCGCCCGGACTCGCTCCATCGACAAGTTCTTCATCATCGATATTCCGGGGGAAAAGCGTTGTGTAAAAATCTTCAGTTATGCTTGGCTCTTGACCCTTGCATTCAGCTGCACGAAATTCCAAATGTCCAAGTTGATGCCACATGCGGCGGCGTTGTTCAATAGTAAGGGCGTCCATTGATCCTGTGGGAAACAATGATGGATCTCGGTGTAATCCCTGATTCAGAGCGATACGAAAAGCTATGCCGATCAACACCCATGCTTTTCCTAAATTTTTGTGTCAGCTTAGTATACCAATGAATGCTGTATAAGCCTACCCATATCTTCCTCTCTTGTGATACACGTCAACCATAGTACGAAGCCCTGGAATATTTCAAGATCGGATGTTGTCAGGTAGTTTTCTCTTGCGAGGGAGATTTCGACCCCCAGTTGAAATCTGTCCAGAAGGGCTTCCTTGGTTTCGCCAAATTTGGTCTGGACAATTTTAGGAGGCAATGAATTGATAGCAGAGAAGTAGATGGCGTAGGCAATAGGATGTGCTTCACGGTTATATGTGAAAAATTTGCGCATCACTGTCGGTCTATGCGTGATCCTTACCATAGGGTCTACGTTGGCGAAATAGACGTCCAAGAGGATATCGCGGTGCTCTTGGGTGCTAGGTAGTAGGCTTTCAAGGTTGGAGCCTGCGCCCGCGCGGCCCAGTGAAAGTAGGTCGACTAAACTGCTTTGTGGAACTTCTTTTCTCTCCTCATCCGTCTTATCGCCTAACAAAGCCTTGATGTCTTGAATCTAACAAGGGTAAGTACATGCTTGCTTGAACTGAAGAGCGATTACAGAGAGACCAAAAACGGCAACGTCTCACTTACCTCGTCAGCAAGCAATGCAAAATGCAAAGATGACACAAACTGGGATTGTCCACCATTCAGCAAAAGTGTCCCGTCGCCATTGTCAGAAGTAATACCGGCTCCCTGGGAAGTCTGACTGCTGGATGACGGGGTTGAAGCGTCCGTCTCTTTTCTCTCAAAGTCGGCGCTGGAGCGCAGTGACGATACCGAGTTAGTCCCCTGTCCAGCGACAGCCTTTTCCAAAAGATACTCGAGTCGATCCAGCCGGGCTTGAACATCATTACTTCTTCCGCCCTTTCCGCCGGTCGCTAGGGTAGATTTTGATATCCTTCCAGTAGCAGTTGGTGCCTGAGCCTGATCCGTCCAGGTGCAAGCATGGTTGCCTCGAGTACAAGAGCCACAGACGGGATGGATATGGTCGCATTTGACTTTTCTTCGTCGACATGTTAAACAGGATGAAATCACTCGTGGGCGGCCTCCGTTTTGTTTGCCCGTCGAGCCTGGTGAATGGCCTAATGCGCCGCCCTTGGTATCGGCCATGACCGTACAAGAATGAAGGATGGTCCTTTACGCAATGCCTAAAGTTTTCAGAGGCGTGGGTCGGTCGGTGGACGGGGAAGAAATAGCCCCGCTGCGCCGGATGTCGAGCATGCACCACCACCGCCCCACTTCATAATGAGCCTAGCCAATGTCAGGACGAGCGTGGATCATTGAGGCTCCATTGTCGGCCTGGGCCCCAAGTAGACACTAGAGCAACATTTTATCCCTCGGCATGTGCCTCAGAGTGGAAAACCTTGAATGCCCTACATATCGCCTGGACACCCCTGAGACCTGATCGCCATTCTAAACCCGTCAAACTCGTACTACAGCCGATGTTCATATAACGGTAGCCAAGGCAGCACTATAGCATGAACCTTGCTGGAGCATAGAACACGACTGCCACGTACCTCGCCATCTCTCGGGCCTCTGAGGCATTTCCATATGTAAAATATGGTGTCTGCCAGGAAGAGGACTAGATGATGTCATCCAACAGGGTTGTAATCGCCTTGTATACTTACATACATCTGTCAACCATCCTTACCGGCACATACTGCGTCATCGCTGGCTATCCTGACCTCCCGGCGGATAGTCTAAATTTAAGATGTAGCGTGATTTTTGGTCCTAAGTTCTAGACTACCCTGTCCCCGCTCAAAAATGGACATCTGCGTTTCGTCCGCACAAACGCTGCGCATGAGCTGGCACAAAATCGCCTTACATATCTCTGCAAAGTCAGCAATGGCTGAACGCAGCTTACTGTAAGTACGCGAAAATTGGTCCGCCAGCAGACGCATGCAATCTATCCAACGAGTATGTCCTTGGGCGCCACAACCCTAAGAACAAGTCATTTCGATTGGCTCGCTCGTGGGGCGGAGATAGCTAAACTCGATTAGTACTACATTTGATATTGCTGGCCGTGGAATTCCACTGGCTGAGCCAGAATAGGTAAACGACAGATGCCATTCCGCTGGTGGAACTCCTACAGCATCACCGAATGCAGGTGTAGTGGAGTTTAGGATTGTAACTGAATGAATATGTATATAATAGCTGGTGTTCGTGTGAAAGCAATATGCATTCAATCTTGAAGCTTACAACTCGCAACTCACAATTCACAAGTTACAACACATCACCAGAGCGAAACTTGTATCCTTGAGCATAGATATCGACCATAGAGTACATATCTTAACCCTAACCCTAACCTTAACCACCACCTCAACCCCAACCCCAACCAAATGCTATACACACGCCAATCAAAATGGTTCAAAAAGGACTCTTCATCAACAACGAAGTACATATCAAACCCAGACACGTATCCCCCGTCCACCCAACTAACGCCACCAGTATCGACTCCACTTCCACTGAAACGCTATATCAATCCACTCACCTCATGACGAATCCCCAGTTCTAAATGGCATCCAAGTTGCCTCCCTAGCCGACGTAGATACAGCCGTCGCAGCAGCCCGAGCCGCATACGAAGGCGAATGGTCCAAATAGACAGCTCAGCAGCGCATGCAAACCATGCATCGCTTTGCCGACTTGATCGACAAGCACGCCATAGAGCTCGGTGCGTGGGAGGCAAAGAGTATGGGCCAGCCGGTCATGATTACGCAGTGGATGTATAAGATTGCATCGGATTATTTCAGATACATGGCCGGGTGGACGGATAAGGTGCCTGGGGAGCAGTGGCCGGAGGTTGATGGAATTTACAAGGTTTGTTGGATTGTTGACTTTCTTTCTGATAAGTATATGCTGATGTGGGGTTAGATTGTCGAGTACGAGCCCGTTGGAGTGTGTGCGGGCATTGGAGCCTGGAATGGTGCTATGATGTTTTTTGCGCTCAAGGTCGCGCCCGCTGTGGCTACTGGATGCACCATTGTCTACAAGGGGTCTGAGAAATCTCCTATTGGACTCATCCAAGTGGGCGAGCTGGCCAAAGAAGCCGGCTTTCCACCGGGTGTGATCAATATCATTACCGGAGACGGAAAAGTGGGCGCTGCTATGGCCAGCCACATGGACATTGACAAGATCGGCTTTACCGGCTCCGTATTTGCAGGCAAAAAGGTCCAGAAACTCGCAGCTCAGAGGTAGATTGTTTGATACGATCGAGTTCACAAAGACCAATACTGACGTCTCATCCAGCAACCTCAAGCGTGTCACGCTTGAACTCGGTGGAAAATCACCATCACTCATCTTTGCAGATGCAGACATTGAAAACGCCCTTCAGCACCACAGCCAAAGCTTTCTCATGAATAGCGGACAGGCTTGCGTCGCAGCCAGTCGTACCTTTGTGCAAGAAGACATTGTCGACGACTTCGTTACACAGCTCAAGATACGCTTCGAGCAACTCAGCAACATCATGGGACATCCAGAGCAGCAGGGTATCTTGTACGGCCCACTAGCTGATAGCAAGCAATTCGAACGTGTAATGGAGTTTATCGAGGTTGGCAAGAAGGAAGCATCGCTGGTCACTGGCGGAGTACGAAAAGGCACCAGAGGGTTCAACGTTGAGTCGACCATTTTCCTCAATCCAGGCGACGATGCTCACATCTATCGCGAAGAGATCTTTGGGCCAGTCATCAGTATCCGCACATTCAAGACGGAGGAAGAGGCGATTCGCATGGCAAATGATACAAACTATGGCTTGTCTGCTTGCGTGTTTACAGCTTCTACGCCGCGGGCGTTACGGATAGCCAAGAAGATTCGATCAGGGATGGTGAACATCAATACGTCGCAGCATGCAGGTCTCGAAGCGCCCATGGGTGGCTCCAAGCAGAGTGGACTTGGGAGAGAAGGTGGGAAAATGGGTGTGATGAGTTATCTGGAGGCAAAAACGATCTGTATCAAGTGAGTATGTCCGCTATTTTTTCGAGAGATGATTGGCTAACGAATAGTAGTATGAATGTGTGAGATGACTGGAAACATGGCCTAGGGTAGCGGGGTGTTGCATCAGTAACGGGTTTAGATAATGGCATCAGTGTCTTTGATGTTTCTGTTAGCATTCAGATTTAGTAGATTAACTTTTGAATATGACCAATGATTGTTTGCAATCCAGTTTCTTTTTGCGGTAAAGTGCCAGGGTAGAAAGACGTAAACATGGTACGGATGACCCTCATATACTAGGACGCAGTCTGGATTCTCTCGTATCTGAAGATCAGAGCAAGGGAATGTCATCACAGCAGCATGCTACCATGGAAACCCTCGACAACGAATGCCGGAACACTGCCGTGCCGGGGGGTCTCCTTGTTTTTTTCCTTCCTGAACGTATCCCTTGGTGGCCTGCAGATATCAAAATTAATAAGTGAGGTTGCTTTTTCAACCGTTTTCGGATGGCGTGTCAGTGTTGGTATTAGCGCACTTGGTGAAGGATATCCAATGGCTCATGGTCCATGTTCCTGGTCACTCGAAGCTGCTGGAGCCAAGCACATAGCGCCACTTCACTTTGAAACAGCTGGCAGAGAAGAGGACAAAGAAAGCGCCCATCGTGTCAAGCCATGACGTTGGCACGAACCTAGCGTGGGCCAGCTAGAGTGTGAAGGCTGCGCGGGGCGAGCCTAGTGGTGGCTGATGCATCGGACTAATGGTTGAGCGTGGCCCGGGGTGGTAGTTTTGCAAGCAATGCGGACGCAATGTCACTGCATAACCTGGCAGCGGAGAGCGATCGTGTAGCTGTGAATGGAGGCTGGCCTGGGTAGTGATAAGACGTGGGTACTCTGCGGGAGCACGTGGGCTGGGTCGACTGCATGGGGACGGGGGGGAGTGGTGAAGAAAGAACAGGCTAGAGAAGCGAATGGCGCCCCAGCCTCTTCGCGCTCTTCGCACCTTACCCGATTGTCTCTCCCGTCCCCGCCGCCTGCATGTATCCCCCAGGCCGTCACACGTCACTGGTGTGAATGCACACAGCTTGTCCCGTCGCATTGGAAGCTGAGTGGTTGGCGCCGAACCGCCAGGGCTCCTGTCGAGCAGAGAGGCTGGTACCGGCCAGCTGCAAAAGCTTGCCTTGGCCATACGGCCTCTCTCGTCCTGGCCGAGGGCGTGCCCAACAATGCATCTTGCATCTTGCATGCTTCTGCTTCATTCAATTCACTGGCCCCACTGCAAATCGTCGCAGCTGACCCCGACTGCAACTGCGACACTATTGCTAACTACTACTGCTCTTCCGAACAAGATGCTTGCCCTTCGTTGACATGGCCACTCTTTCTCCTGGTGCGTGTGGTGCGGTGCGCATTGGAGCTGTTGGAATATACACACATAGCATAACCTGCTGACCTGGTCGCATCTATAGACGTACGCGATTTTACTCTCAAGTCGCTCAAACTGACCTGCCCCTCCGCCGAGGTCATTCAACCTCCATCCTCCCAATCCAAGTCCTCCGACGATATGCCTCCCACCGAACAGCAGGGCTATCCCTTCCCAGAAGTAGGCGACGAGTGGTCTGACGAGGAAGTCCTGATTCCCAGGCAAAGACGAAAGACACAGTACATACCACCATTGATGTTTGAAAAGATTACAGCCACCTCGGCAGAATCATCTTCAGAAGATTCAAGCACCCCATCGCCCCGCCCCCAGCGATCTGGCGGAAAAGTCAGCCCGAATGTGCCCCTCAAGAGCCCGTCCCGGCAGAGCGCATTGCGAGGGAACAGCCAGGATGAGCTGGTCCAGCGCTTCTACCAGCTTACAAAAGAGCGTGATGCGCTGAGGAAGGAGCTGCAGCGGAAGAGCATGGGCGCCAATGGCACCTCGACCAGAGGCTCCAAGCTGTACAAGACAGAAGAGGATACACTGATAGAGGAGCTCTTTGCTCTACGTCACGAGATACGTAACTGGAGTGAAGAGTACTTTAGCGGCCCTATAAGAGCCTCGAGCAAGCGACCCTATCTTACCAGAGCGAGAGAACTCTTTGGAAACCTCACCGACAACTACCACGTCTATCTCAAGGACCCCGAAGACCGGCCTCTTCTCATACAAGCATACGTATGGATGCGATTACAACAAAAGATTTTCAA